GGAGCAGGATGACCACAAGAGGGAGACAAACGTAAAAAGCCATACCGTCTCCTGCAACCAAATACTCCTGTATTCTGAAATGGTAACGAAAGGACATAAAGCCAAAAAGTTACATTTTGCTTTAACGTTTGGTGCAAAAATTATCATTTTAAATATAATCATTTTTAGCATCGGGAAGCACATCGACATTTTAAGCTCATATATTTCTACATTTATATATAATTTCTACAAATGACATGTAGTCAGACTTGACGAGATGAGTTAATAAATCAGTAGAAAATATATAGAGAATTCAAAATCATCAGAGTATGTTCTCACCGTCCCAGTACCTGAGCAGTTTGTCACAGATGTTGTCACGCATCCTGACTTTTAAAGTGTTCTACAGACACCTAAAACCACAGAGGTGGGTCTTAAATGTTCTCTGTTGCCACTCACACACACACACACACACACACACACAAACACACACACACACACATAGAGCACCTTCTTGCAGTGTTATCTTTCAGATCTTCAGCTCAAGTTTTCACCCAGACTAGTCGAGTGTGATATACTTCAAATAAATACATATCAAACACTGAGTAACTGACATTTCATTTCAGAGGGGTGTAAATGTGTTCAGGGACACCATCGGAGTAGTGAATAAATCACAGTGGTTCCCTGAAAACGGATCGGTTTTGCCATGAGCTGAGCAGTACTCACTCTGCCAGGTGTAACCACCGCTGAGTTCATTTGTCTGCGTACAGTCGTATTGTTGTATTGCTTGTTCTCGTCTGTAGCTCAAGGCCCCTAGTCCTGTCTCTCAAATGGGAAGCTTCCATTGTCCTGCAGAATTAATAGCCGCAGCTTCAGTGGTTTTCTCAGTGTGCCCCGGTGGGAGAGGATTTTGTCACACTATCCTCTGGTGTGTCACTTATTTGTCACTTTTCTTTAATCTCTTCTTACATCTTACAAGGATTTACCTCCCAGGACAGGTGTTTTGTTGGACGTGCTGTCAGAATCCAATCACATTTTTCTGTAGTCCCCTTTGGAAGTTCCCTCTGAGATCATATTAATTCATATTTTAGATCTGCATAAACAGTTTATAATACGTACATGTTCACTCGCTCAGCAAACAGTTAACCTAATCCCTCCATGGTGAAAGACTACAGTATCAGTTGCTGTTAGGTTTCAAAATAAACAGCTATTCATGAAAGGTTGAACTGAATATTTCCAAAGTTAATTTTCATCAGCTGCTGTGTGGTTAACACTTATAGATACCTGGTGAACTTTCTGTTTTTCTCAAAAGTCTACAGACTAGGCCACACAGAGGTTGGGTCTGGACCATATCTGACCCAAGAGCCACTATTTGAATCAGCCTGCCCTAAACAATGACCAGCCCTCTGTGGCTGTATATGGTGCAGGCAGTGTATATTGTTTACAAATGTGCAAAATAAATTTCCTCTGACACAAATCTATAAATATTTAGCTTTAAAGTACGTCACTTCTATAGCCAGTGTTTTTTTCTTCCTTTTTAAAGACACCAAAGTGAAAAAGACTTAACTGTCAGGATTAATATCCTACTGTGACAGTGACAGCACGTCATTTACTGGTTGCTTTACCAGGTGTAACAATGGCTGCTGACATCCAATCACAACATAAACAATGAAAACAAGGCCCTGGGCAGGAAAAAGATTTAGTTTTGTATGAAAGAAAATACAATGGGAAGTTCGTTTGCAGACAGTTGTGTACTTCATGGGCGTGTGCAGTAAAGCATTTAGTATTTACCACTAATCCCTGACAGTGAGAGTATCACAAAACTGTGTAGTAATTGCAACATTAGTTTGTCTATTCATCCCATAATGACATAATGCCGTGGTGATTCCTAATCATATTGTGCTGAACAAGGTTGCATTTCGTTTTGCTCACATTGTGTCATCACAGCAGTTACCAGTCAGTGCCAGTGTGTCATTTCTACTGTTCATGAAATTGAAAAGTAAGAAAGAGAGTTTTTGTCCTTTTACCTGTTATCACGGTCGTGTTTTTAAAAAATACAAATTAAAATTGCAATTAATTTAACATAAAAGCGAGCACCGATTCAAACCATTTGTATGTTAACGTTAAATGGTAAATTACACTTTATTAACGTTCTAACGTTGTTCGTGTGGTATCCAGCAGGGGGCGCAGTAAAGAAAATAAAACGCAAGTAAAACTGCCCACCTGGCAAAAGCAAATAAAATGTGGAACATGTGGAAAAAATTAAATCATTAAGACATGGATTAAGTGTATTATTTGGCAAATAAATAAATAAAGGCAGCCTGTAGTTATCATTATCTCTTTTTTTATTATTTTGATGCAATTAAGATGTGACTTTTGCAACTTTATTTTCATTTTTTTCTCATCTTTCCTCCTGTTGCCTTCCTGAACTGCAATCAACAGGATTTTATAAAGCGACTGTAGTTAGAGTGCTGGATCCGATTCATGGAGGTTTCTGATTCAGAACAGTCATTAGGAGACGTTAAGCGCCCTCTGGTGGACTAATTTAAGAACTTGCCAAGCTTTTTGATCCTGGGTGGTTCACGCGGACAAGGCTGTGCACCCTTCAACAACATCCTCGTGGTCACCTTTTGCCATGCAAGACAGAACAATAATAAATAATTCAGAAAGTTTCTTCAATTCATCCCCTGAGTTGACTCTTTGTCCCAGGACATGTATGTTAGCATGGTAGCATTTCTGGAGTGGAAATGTTTATATGTGGGCAGTAACAGAGAGTGAAGATAATACCTATTTAAATACCCAAAAAGAAAAATGTATGTATTTTTTAACACGAGTGACAGTAACACAGTAATAACAGTTCTCTTCACAGGTCACCATGTGACAACGACATGAAGGAAACCAGACCAAAAAGTATTGTGTGTTGTTGTCTTGAGAATAGATATTTCTATCTTTAATTTTTAAAAGTAATGTTCTAGATTTTGCAGTCGTTTTTTATGCTATAAATGAACTATTAACTCAGCAGATTCTTGCAGAAATTCGAATTTCAAGTAAACAAAATCCCTTTTGTACTGGAATGGTCATTGGTTCGAGACCAACCAGGTACAAATGTTTCTGTTTTTTATTTTGTTTTTTTGTTTTTTTGTTTTACATTTCTATGTATTTTATTTTATTTGTTTTTCATGCATTTGTTTTGTTTTATTTTTAAAAACAATATTGTAACTTTTCTTGTTGTTATTATTATTACAATCAATTCAATCATTTTTATTCCTATTTTTAGTATTTTTGCCATCTCACAGAAGCAGTAGACCGACTCGTCTCTCTGCTGCCCCTGCCGAATGACTGCGTTCTCTGACAGCAGAACGTCTGGAGCTTGTTTCTTGAGGAAAAGGACAACGCATTTTTTAAAAAGAACCCCGTTGACCCCGACCTCAACGGTGAACATGTAAATATGGATTTAATGCAGCTTTTTGCAACGGTCGTCGCCGTTTTGTTCCATCCGGGTTCTAAAACAAACGGTAAGAAAGGGAATTCGCTTCGGAAAAGAAAAACAATCCCGTTGTTTTCTGTCTGCAAATACAACGGTGTAAGTGTCGCTGATTGATTTATTTGTTTGTTTTAATAAACGGACAAGAGTTTCTAAAGTATTGTTGCACTGTGAGCTGTGAACGTGTTTTAGTTTTTTTTTTTTTACTTGTCTCTGGTCTCTGTTTAAGAGTTTTTGCGCCTTTCAGTCTCAGCCGAGGGTCGAGTCTTCTCTAATGACAAACAGACTGCAGCAGACACACGTGATCGGCTGGAGAACTGAGCATCAACCAGGCTGCAAAATTTAACCAACACCAGGTTGTTGGATGTTAGACGAGGGATCTGTAAAAGTATAAAAACAAGTTGATATGTTCACTGAAATTAACACCCATTACTAAGTTATCTGTGGTTCAAAAAGATTTGAGGTAAAAACCCTTTTACCACTTCAGTGGGTGACTTGGTAGAAAAAATGAGAAAAGTACATGTAAAACACATGTATAATCTAATAATACTGGAGAAGTCAGAGAAAAAACACTGGAGGAATCACAGACAAACTGACAATTACACAAAATAGAATGTCCTGTGGGAGAAATAATCGTTTTTACATTATTTTACATTTACGTTTGTTATGTACATTTTTGACCCTGTGTGTTAGTACGTTTTGAGTCGTTGAGATGTGACCTACGTAAATATGGATCTGCTAATGTAAAACTGAGGGCCCTTTATTCCAACTGTGTCATGTGAGATTCACAGGAAGTCTTTGGAATCTCCATAACTCAATATTCCCTGTTGTCTTCCTGCTGTCTTGATGCGACTGTGGTTTCCAGGCCAAATGATCTGCCGGAGAGGGAGGGAGAGACCGTGCTACAAGGTGTCCCACATCGTCCAGGACGGCAGACGGAGACCCACCTTCGAAGACGCCAGACAGTCCTGCGGTCTAGATGGTGGTCAGCTGCTCAGTATAGAAACAGAGAGTGAGCAGCGGCTGATAGAGAGGTTCATCCAGCAGCTGCAGGCTGGAGATGCCGACTACTGGATTGTTCTCCGTCATGGTCCACAGCACAACACGGCGGTGACCACCAGCCCAGGCTGTCCCTCACACTACTACTGGCTGGATGGAAGCAAGGCCAAGATCAGGTCTGTCTCTCATTTTGAAGGCAGGTCATTGTTTAAAAATATGTGTTATGGTGCCATAGTGAGGAGGTCAACGTCAGCCTGTAGGTAGTTGGTACATGGAGCAGATTTTGGGATCACTGAAGAAGAAAAGAGGAGTTAAAAGCTGTAGTTAGTAGGGGTGTATATTCTGTTGATGCAACACGTATCACGATACAGGGGCAACAATGCAATATATTGCAATATACGGTGATACTGTAGACACAACGATATACTGAAGGTTTTTTTTTTAAATAATGTAATTGAAGGAAAACTGTCAACATAGTAAACACACAATGCTGCTACATCTTAACATCAGGTTACTAAAGTTGGAACAGAGGGATATACATTTGGAATCGCAAGAGAAGAACTAAAATGAACCAACACCAGGAATATTTGCCTGTTGCTGCAGTGCTGTAGAATATCATAGTTAGCCCCTAGATACCAGTGGGAATTATGAACTCACCAGGAAAGCTGGGTTTGCAATTGGGATCAAATTGGAGTAAATGGAGGAACAAGTCACTGAACAAAGTGCTCTCCATTCATCACTGACCCAGTCCCAGTCCCTTCCTCACAGAGGCTCATTCAGCTGCGCTGTCATAAAGAGAGATATAAAACATCTTTTCTACCTCCTGCTATTTCCCAGTACTAGAACTCACCAGTGTATGACAGATGAACAACACTCATCTTCATTCTCTGCTTTTTCTTCTGTAATCTTATCTTTATGCTGCACATTGCACGTCTCATTATCTGCACAATCCACTGTTACACTGGGCTGTCAAAATTATGGTGTTTGTTGTATTAAAATATTTGTCAAATAATCAGATAAATACAATTCTGGGCGGACACATGGGCAGAATGACATGTGATTTACAGTTGGTCGTTTACATACACTGCAGGAAAAATGTTTTTGTTTCATGAGCATCTCAATCTTAAAATACCATCTAGACACCTAATCTCTCTTCAGCGACACGAGGTCTCCGAAAGCGTTTACAATCTTTTCCAAAAATTAAAAAAAATCTAAAACTACATGAGAGTACTTAGAAACTGAAGTTTTTTTTTTGCTGGATATTTAAAACAGGGCTCTAAACATGTGGATTGTTCTCTGTAGGAACTGGCACTGGAACAAGCCGTCGTGTGATGGTGAGAAATGTGTGGTTCTGTACGACTGGCCATCTGCACTACCTGACGAAGGAGCTGGTTTCAAGTGGAATAATGATGATTGTAACTCCAAGAACAGTGTAGTCTGCAAATACCCAGAAGGTGAGTCAGCAAGTGGAACTGTGCATTGGGCCATGTAACACTGAATGCTTTGTTTTAATAAGTGGCGATGATTATGTAGAATAAAAGTTCCATGTAAAATATACAGTTGATTTACATTCTACTGGGCAGGAACTGGAAATACAGTACATGTCTGTTACCTTAAGTTTGTTTGTTTGTTTGTTTTACCTTAAACAATGGTTTATATTTGTTTATAATTTTATTGAAAGTTTTTATATAAAGAACATAGACTGCACAATAAGTGTTAGCTCATTATTAATTGCTTAGTTACATTTGCATAGCATAGCTGGCTATTATAAGTCATTTTAAAGTATCTTAATTATTTTGCATCATTTTTTTTACATTTAGATGAAGAGTGCTTTAATGTATTTTCTGTTGCTTATGTATCAACGTGTCTCTTTGTTTTGTTTGCTGCTATTCTGTGTTTTACAGAAAAAGTACCCGTATTTACTGATGAACGGAACATGACACATGCAGGTACAACATGAACTGGACTGGTCCTGTTTCTGTGAGATTGAACCATGACCATGATCAACCATGTTTTTATGTCTCATTACATTAAAATTAAAAAAATAAAAGCATATATATATATATATCTATATATGAATATATAGACATCTCTCTCTCTCTATATATATATATATATATATAAGCACTTTGGCAACAATATAATAGGTTGACATTTTTGTTCAGGTATATTTTTGTGTTTAAAAGTCTTGCATTTAATTATTTGAACTGCATGTGAAATTCAGTTGTCTTTACTCTATATAAAAAAAGTCCGATTTCTTTTTCATATTGGACTAATTTAATCTTCTTCAGCTCCATCCGTGAGGCCTAGCCTGTTATCAACAACAGAAAGTACTGAGAAGACGGGAAAAGTACAACCTGAGTCATCAGGTCAGAAAACGTAACCACCGCTGTGTTATGAAGGAAAACTAGACTAGAATAACATTATAATTTTTTAGTATCCTTTTCAGATGACTCCCTGCACCTTTCTTACATACTTTACGGTACCATCCCTGCTGTCCTGCTGCTTCTGTTTGCGGCTGTTGGGTTCTTCTGCTACAGACACCATGGAAAGAGGTAAAAATAGAAGCAACACAATATAAAATCTCATGCACTTAAAGTTTTATTCACCCACTTTTATGATGCAGATAATAATTCTAAAATTAATCCTCTTATTTTTATGACATAGGCAGAATGATGCAGGTCTTCTTCCCTTATTTCCATAGTTTTACCGATTGCAATTGCGATTATTTTTCAGGGACCTTGCTGTTAGAACATATCTGCCAACAGAGCTAATTGCTATTTTACGACAACAAGTCCTGGTTGGGCTTTAAAAACAAGCCCAATATATATTTATATATATATATATAATTTTATTTGTTTATTTTTTAATTAAAATTGTATCACATGGGAAGACTCTTTCTTTGATTTCAGCCAGTTTTTGACCGTGGTGAACGTTTTATTAATGTCTTGACCGAGAGTTGCAGACATGACTGACTGTCCAAATGTGGTTCTGACCTGGGATTTTTTCTTTGTAGTTTCTAGTGACAACTACTGTCATTTGTAAAGCCTGATTGTATAATGAGCCAATGTGTTTATTGTAGATGGGGGATGCTTGTGCCAATATTGACAGACAGTCTAAGATGTGGTAGAAGATCATAGTTCATACATGCGTACTAACAGCACATCTGTGCAGCTCCTCAGTCTCGGTGCAGTAACAGATCCCTGTTTCTTCTGTGTTTTAGGAGGAAGACAGAAACAGGAAGCTATTCCAGCAGAACGCCACCGTGGATGTCGACAGCATCAACACCTTGCCCCATACAGGGACCTTACGCTTTCAGTGACATCACCAAACTCCCTCCCACTGTTCCGCACAGTGCCACAGATAACAGGACAAAGATTTTCTGCGCACCTCTCCACGACTCCCAGTGTGATGAATATGAGAATGTGGTGTGTACAAACAGGGAGATTGGGTTTGTGACCAATGACATTTATGAGACCTGCAGATCTCAGAACAGTCAGACTGGATGGGTGGACAATGAGATATATGCCTAACACTGATGATGAGTATTTGGACTTCAGAGTGCTCTTAGAAAAAAGACCAAATCTGACAGGGGAACACAATGTTTTCCATCTTCTTTTTTTCATGCTCAAACTCCACTTTCATAATAGAAAACAACTTGCTCAACTCCATAGTTTCAATAAATAAACAGAAGACTGTCAGCCTGGTAGTTTAATCATTCTTTCACCCCATGTTTCCCTGCTGATGGTTCCAAAACAATGAAGAGAATCATTTTCACCTGGACTCCTGTTGTGATTTTCATGCAGGAACTAAAACTAAAAGCTTTGACTGACTGTGTTATTGGCCTCTTCTTACTGCAGATAATTTTTCGCCTTTGTCCAAAGGAAGCTTGGGTGGCGTCCTGTGGCCTATTGGGTAAAAGATTAGTCTTGCATTAAGGATTACGACTCAAATGCTGGCCTCTGCAGGACTGTAATGAGTTAAACAAGCAGCAACACACCTCCACTATGAGCTGGTAACAAGTCATTCACCTCTGAATGAAGTGAATCACACCATAGTTTATCCTAGCCAGAAATATTTTAGAAGATATAGTCATAGATAGCCATGGAAAAATAACTCAGCGCAGCAGCGATGCTATGTTTGGTTACAGTGGATTACACATCCAATCCTAGGAATAACTGCGAGTCACAACAGGTGACTCACCTTGAAAACAATCCCAAAATAAACTGCTGCTGGTCCAGTACTGATAAGGGATAATTATGGAGATGCTAACTCTTTAACTGCTGACTTGCCTTGCCCTGTCCAGGGACTTCTCTGACCTTTTCTCTAAACTCAGAGAGCGTTGTGAGCCGTGCTCAGGGCTTCCTGTTTGGACTCTAGTGTCTGGAACAGGACAGTACGTGCGGAAACACTGATGACAGAACTCCAGTTAAACCCCAAACCTTGGGCCTTTCCCAACTTCCCTGCAGATACCAAACGTTTTACCGTAATAACTGTACTAGTGAGCATTTTTGGACATATGGAAGTTGTCTTCATATTAACTAGTTGGTAAATCTACATCTGCTGACAGATCTGGCTGAGCATGTGCCTACAGTAGAGGAGTGTTTGGTCTGTGCCTTGGAAAGTTATAGAAAGGCCACGAAGGAGAGGCTGAGTGTGTTTTTGGAGAATGTTAGACAGGAAATGCCAAAAGCACATCTGGAACTCTTACATTCAGGAAGTCTCTGCGTGACAGCAGAGACCTTTGGTGTGCTGCTCTGTCTGCCAGCTTCACTGTTCGCTGTTTTTGTGTTCGACTGTCACTGCGGGGGCTTAAAAAAGAACAACCGCTGGGCGTGAATACAAGCCACCTCTCAAACATGACGGGGGTTTTTGGCTTTTAAATTATGTTTGAATCCAGGGTTTCTGGTCGCAGTCATTATTCAATAACAACAAGGAACTACTCGGTAGAGGATTGATTTTTAATTTGTGAAAAGCAAGAAAGTGACATTTGATAAGTAGGTTTAATATTGATATTTTATCAGCTCTAGAGCTACATTTGTTAGGATAAGTTGACTGAAGAAAGCAACACCAGGAGTTGACAGACTAGAGGTAAATGGTAAGAGCTAGGAAACAGATTACAGAGAAGACAGCTTCTACCAGTTATCCCGTGTGAAAACAGTCTGCCCTAACCTCTAGGGGGAGACATTTAGCCGATTTTAACTCAATGTACTCACCTTGCTTTAAAGGCATCACAATATGAACTGGTTAATTGTGAGAAATACTATAGTGTTCTTGAAGGAAGTGTACTTGACAGTAAACATGCACCACGAAATGTTAATTTACATGATATCGCCTTGGGAAAAAACCTAGATGATGTTTTTGCTGCATTTCATCATTATATATTATTATTTTGCAAGGTGGTTTTCTTGTAGTTTGAAGGTGACCTGCAACAGATTGGTAAGAACAGTCTACAGCCCTAAAGTGACCCACATGTGCAGCAGAAGATGTGACATCACACGTTGTTTGGAGAGACGTAAATATTGTTGCTACGCATGTCAGTGTGTGTGTAATTTTGAGGTTGTTCTGCAGTCAGTGTCAGTAAATGTGATCACTTCATCAATTGGAAAGCCTCTGTTCTCCCCGCAAATGGGGCTGTAGTCATTCGCTATTCCCCATGCTCCACCACAACTATGACGTCTATCTGACTTCAATGACGTAAAGGTCGCTCGAAATGTGACATGACCATGTAAATAGCGGTCACTTTGAAGAATAGAGGATATATATCCGATTTAGGACTACATCAAACAGGCATGGATCCAATTTATATAAAAAATCAATTGCAAAAAAACATGTATGGGTTGAAGAGGGACAAAAAATCAGATTCGGCCTCATTAGACTTGTTCTGTGAAATACAAAGGTCTAAACAAAAGACATTTATGTAACTGTAAGGTTTTCTAGTTCTAGTTTGTTTTTGCTTCCTCCACTGCCAAATCCAACCAACCATAAGGGCAAAAGCTGCACCTGCGAGATTCACTCTGAGAGTAGAACAATCTGAATGTTCTACCTCTACAGCATTAGGTCAAAAAAAGGACCACATCTTGATTAGCCCAGACCAGATGTTTTCAGAGTTGCAGGCTCCGCTCTATGGTGTTAGCGACCTCACCAACTGCACTTAGCACAAGGACAGCTTCAACCACAACCATTGTAACGACCTCAACTACTGCACCAACCACACTTACTATAAGGACCATGCAGCAACCACAATGCGCCCAGCTCTATTAAGGGGTATACGATGTAATAAAGTAATAATAATAATAACTAGCTTTATGTCACATTTGCTTTCTGACGAGTGTAAAAATTATTCAAGTGCTAACCCCAGAACACTCTCCACAGACTTCACCCAGTCCTAGAGAAAGTCAGAAATAATGCTTTCTCAATTTGAGGATGACAAAAAAGTTCCAAATGCTATGCAGTTCTGCACAAGACATACACCTGGTCACTGTAAAGACAATTATAGAGTATTATTTTATTGGACTTGCTCTGCAGTTAAATTGCCGGTTTCAATTACTATAAAAAATGTGCTAAGACATGTTATTATAGGAACGGTAAAGGTTTTATTCACTCCCTAAACGAGTATCCAATATTTTTGTTGGATTCTATTTGCCTTGCTATATTTAAATTCAGATTACCAGAAGATGGTGCTGTTGGGCTGCTGAAAAACGTATTTGTTATTCATAAAATGTCTCATGGATCAGTATGAAGCAGTATATAAAAATTTCGCACTAGTATCGACTGGTGGATTTTTTTGCATTTTGTTTTTTGCATGATAAATAACGTAATGTGAGGATAAAGATATTTTATTTCTGTTCTCTAGTTCATCTGTTCGTGTTTATTTTGAACGCGTTTCCACTCCATTCATAATTTCCAAGCGTGCAGCTGTTAAAGACACAGCGCTGAGCAGAATTAAACTCGTTGAATGTCGTTTTTCGTCGAGTCCTTTATTGTCTCCTTCACAAAGGCAAACAGCCTGCATGGTGAAACTTCAAAGTTACCTAAGCGTGCAATCAGAAGGACAGACAAGCAAACAGATTTCAGAATAGCAATTTTACCGGCTGACGTAAGAGGTGGGTCTGGTTGTCGTGGTAACCAATTGGCACTGAAGTGTGGAGCGGCTCTGTGGCCCCGCCCCCTCTACAAATACCCCTATGGCTTTGACGTCAATGCACGTCAACCCGAGAACATGATGCCTCTCTGCGAGTGAACTCGTGCGCTCGGCGGCTGATAGCACAGGCACCTCTGGCTGAAACATTATAGGCGCATTGTAGTGGATGGAGAACGTGGTGTGGAGCTGAATGACAGCCACCGCGCTCAACAAATGGCCTGCTTCGTAGAGGCAGGACTGTCGGAGAGTGTCGCCTCACTCCGGTGCTCTGGCTGACACATACATTCACACACACCAACTTTGTCTCTGTTTAATGGACGCGCTTCGAGGAGTAGCAGCAGCAACAGCAGCGACAGGAGGCTTGTGTTACTTTGGTCTTTATCTGTAGCAGCTACCAAACAGAAAACAAACAAACCCGCCCCTGTGTGTGAGCCCCCTCCTGGGCGCACGTCCCCCCTCTGGGCTCGCCTGGCTGCCTGCTCCTACTCGCCCTCTGCACGGTCCCATTCAGACCAGCATGGTCATGGCTGACAGTGTCCAGAAACCGTTGATCCGGGGTCCGGTCCGAGTGGGCTTCTACGACATCGAGCGCACTTTGGGAAAGGGCAATTTTGCAGTGGTGAAGCTGGCCCGACACCGCATTACCAAGACCGAGGTGAGTCACTTAGTTAGCAGCCGAGGCTAACTCGCTGCTCCGGTGGGAGTTATATAACTTTTCATGTACTGGCTGACACCTCAGAAATTCACAGCAGATACCGAAATGCTGTCCACATGGTGCACTAATAGAAACGTGGATCGGGTGACGCGGCTGCCCCACCGGGACACTTTGCTGTGGCTGCTCCGGTGTGCGAGCAACAGCTGGTGTGTTCGAGTCCCGCACGTACACGGAGCCGGAGCAGGAGCAATGACTGAGTGCACACTCACCCCCTTAGCGAACAGCGTCAGTGCCAGGAAAGGGTCGGACCACCGGTGCTGCTGGGAAACACAACGTGCGTGCGAGTTTTTCTGTAGAAATACAATTAATATCAGTGGACCTGTGCAAACAGTGCATGAGCAGTAGTTGCATCACAGCAGGATTATAGCAGTTCAAAAAGACTTGCCATGTTGTCTGTCAATAAACGGGTCTATACATCCTTGGAGCAGGGCAGTCAGGAATGTCTTAACTTTTCATTAAGAAAAATAATCCGTATAAATAGACATTTTCGTATAAATAAACATTTTCTAAAAGATCAAAATCAAGTGAAATAAGAAAAAGGTTTGCAGCAAACAAGTTAACTGCAAATAAAAAAAACTCGGTCACAATTCATGCAGAGAACCAATTCAGAGATGTGAAGTCATGTGTTTACATTGAAATCACGTCTGTACTTAATTTTAATTGTTACACTCTTAGATTATTGCATTTCATTAAATAAATAGAATAAATGAATTTTTAACATGTTGACTAAGTAATTAATGAGGTAGATAGAATACCTAGCATGACAATGAATGGATAATTACGCAGCCATAGACTGGGCCGAGTTTTAAATCTGCTCCTCAGTCAGGTATCATACACAGACTAAACACTGAATTAACAAGTAGCTGAAGTCTGATCACATCTCATCTTTATTAATGAGCTCCAGGCTGAGAGGAAAGCTATTTCCACTGGGACACAAATAAACAGAATAATTTGCACTTAGAACACAAATACTTCACATAAACAAGCATGTTGGAATGCTCTGACCTGGTGGACAGTTAGTGCTGAATGACCTGGACTGGTGTGAATGTGAGTAGATGATTAGGTTCGTGTTTGTGACAAATCTGGCTGAATGTAGCATGACTAATAATAAAATTGTATAAAAAAATGTAAGAGGAGAGCTGCAGAGGAGAAGAAAGAGGAAGGGGAATTAAATGCAGCGATCAGAGTGAGGGGACATGCAGAGATGTGACTCATTTGTTTACAGCAGAGGAGGAAGTGCAGCCTCTTCTATTGGGGAGAATTAGCTTGACTCAAAATCCTGTATCCTGTTTTAAAAGTTCAGTGGAGATTTACACTTAAAGAAGTGAAGAATTGTTTCACATGTAAAACAGTTCAATGGGTCAAGAACGGTTTGGACGACAGACTCATGTCCCTGTGTGGCATTAACCACAGCAGGTTCACGTACTCTGCTGCAGAATAACTGGCACCGTTGACTTCTGTCTGTTTCATCCTCAGGAAATTATTGAAAACCATTTTGTCAGAACCCTTTTTCTAGAAGCAGTCCCCGACCAAATCAAATAAACTCCAGTCCATCTTTCATCCTAGGTCTCCATCCAAGGAGCAAAAACCAATGAATAATGTTGTGAAACATAAAGGCCTGCACAAAGTTAAAATTGTATCTTGATTAATCACAGGCTAGTTGTGCATTCATCTAAATTAATTGTGATTAATCGTGAAAAATCAGCATTCCTTATTATGAAAAAAAGCTTCAGGAAGACATCTGTGTTTCATACTTATTTTTAGTTGTAACTTATTCATATAATGGAATTATTAACATGGAAAATGTCAAGAAAAATGTATGTAAAACTATAACTTAAAATGTATCTTCATAGAGTTGGTGTATTTTAGTCAGTACTTTTCATCTTGACAGTGTCTTGTACAATGTGAATCTTGCTGGCACAAGCAGGACGTCTGACCTCAAGTTGAAACCACCACAAACCAATGCTGGGAGTTGAGATGGTTTTTTTTAAATTCACGTGCAGGGAAACAAAAACATGTTTAAGGACTTAAAGTATTAAACCAACGATAATTAAATAGTTGGTGGAATTATTGCATACTGAGCATTAGAAAAGTATTAACAATTAAAATGGGTTCGTTTTATATCTTCAATATGGGGTTAACACATTCATTTAGATAGCCATAGTGAAATTGTCTGTCATATTTTTTTTTATTATTAGACCAGCATCAAACACCTGCACTCCTTTGAGTGATAGTTCAGAGATGCAGTGCCACAAAGACAGAGTCTCAGTGATGGAAACATGCCTGTTGCTGTATTTGGGCGTACAAGCAGGGGTCGGTGGTCCTGTTATGTAATCCAAGTAATTATGTGATTTTTGTAGATCCATGTGCCAGAGCTGGTGCCCAAAGCTCTCTGTGCTGGGGCAGAATGTGCCAGCCAGAGTTCTGTGATTGGAAGGCTGAGTATTCTGCACACAGGCACGCAGAAAGAAATCCTCTGACACTGCTGCCGGGTCTTCTTCATAGTTTGGAGAGGGTTTGATATTAAGGCTGCACACTCTCCGGCGATGCTGTGGGAGCACAGAGAGACTAGAACTGGGATTTTCTCTGTGTTTTCTATCAGTTTTATCTAAGCTCCGAGCAGAAGGAAGCGTATGGTGAGTTTTAACACTGGTGACTTTTTACCAGAATGGCAGGGATTCATATTAGGAGTGTTGGTTATGTGTGAGAGACAAGGACAAGGCACTGGAATAGAAGCATGGGCCATGGGGGGCATGTGAGAACACAGTCCCAAAGCTTAATCTTTAATCTCTGCATGCTTTGGCTGTTGTTGAAACTTGAGTCAGATAAACAGAGATGCACGTCACCCCGGCCTGGACTCTAGGTTTAATAAATAACGTGGTGGGAAAATTTCTCCCCAAGACTCTTAACATTCTGTTATAGTACTTAGCAAAGCAACATGATGCACATTGGGTAATCTGTAAACATGTAAACCTAACAGTTGCATATGTGCATGTTTGTCTGGGGGTGGGGGTTTGCACCGAGGGGCAGATCCCTCTCCTCCAGTGGACCTGGTATGTAGGCTGACTGGTTTTCAGGCCACGGGTCTGATGGAGGCCACTCAGCAGTGGTTGGTGCGCAGAGCTTCTGCAAATCCTGGGCTCAGCCAGGACCCATGGCCAGAGCCAGACTGTTTATTAAAGTGGCCAAGGTCAGATGGAAAGGCAGGCTATCAACTTTATATGATGCCATCTGCCTTGAAAGTATGCCAGAGCAAAAGCAACCCTGTTAAGTGTGATAAGGGAATATTAGAGGAGGTGAACATCAGATCTGATGTTTATCTATGCATGAGCGAGTGTGCATTTTCCCAGATAAGTGTACCTGTGTGTGTGCATAACCTACTTTTTCTCCCTGCGGAACCTGTGTGTTATACTGACCCATTCACCCATTATGTACATATTGCACAAACAGTTCCAATCTACTCCTGTGCAGTCTGGCATACAGTGCACTCCTGCCTTTTCTCTTCATTACCTTTGTATAGCCTCATTTACCCCTTTACCTCCGTGACCTCTAATGACTGATAATACAGTTTTAACTATTCACTAAATGTAGACAATAATATTGAAGCAGAGGAGGTTTTGGGCCGGGATGCACTCATTCCACTTTTTCAGTCCCAGTACATAGAATTATTTGGGATTTTATCTCATGCCAATACCAGAGGGGAGTACTGCGAAGCCAGTTTAATGGCTTAACAAGTTTTCTTGATTTTTTTTCCTGATAAGGTTATGTCAAGAGTTTCTTAAACATTACAGGAGCAACAATAATGCAGACAGCAATACACACCATTTATACACACACTCCAGGACTTGTTTTAGATGATAGAAAGAAAGAGAGAGAGAAAGAGGGAAAGAAAGAAAGAATGTGATGGGTAAAATAATCAAGCGAGGGACAGTGAGCAAGACAGCGCGACAAAAATGGAGCTCGGTTGAACACCTGTAACTGGATGTTTCCTCATCATGTCACCAGGAAAATCTTGCAATAGTTGCTTATTTGTAATTTCGAGAAACTCATATTTCGGGTAGCTCGTATCTAGGGGTTCAACTGTACGTTGCCCAAGATTGTTCAATTTTCTGTGGAAGTTAAATAATATAATATTTATTTATTTAACAGTAATTCTTTACTTTATTAACCAGATAAACTCATTAAGATCAATATTTCTTTCATAAGGCTGACATTAAAAATAGGTCATCAACACACTTTGTCTTAAATTGTTAGGAATATCAATTACAATACCTGGTTGTTTTACAGAGTGCGCAGTGGAAAGAAATTTAAAGTAACACAGCTATGATGTAAATAAGTATTTAAAACAAAATTAAAAACCAAAAACAAACCCTGTCTTATTGTGTTGACAAAAATAAAAAGCTCATGCAAAAATACTTCATGGCCATCTCACAGATAACGCTGCACATAACTGAAGCCGTGACGTCAGCAGTGAACCAGCCGCCAATGACAGTCAAATATATTCACATGCAGACGGCTGATAAGACCCAGTGCGAATGTGGAAGTTTGGTCATTTATCTGATGGCTGTTGAGGCTAACGAATTTATCAGTGTGATAATAGGAGACTGTCTTATAAAGTGCTGCATATTGTCTGGCATCTAATTAAACTCATTAATCACTGCCATCCAGTTACCTTGGATGGAGGCTGATGATTACTGTGAAGGAGCAGTGAAGATTTCATTATTGATTGATCCATTTCACTAAAGCTGCAAATGTTTTTTTATTATTTTTGTACAAGCATCACTGGAACAATTCAATTACATTTTTGTGAAATAACTTTTATAAAATATCTATCTATATATAAACAAAATCATCTTTTCATATTTGTAATATTTATGTCTTAATTTGGAGACCCTCAAAAGAGGGTATGCAGCCACACTGGGTTCCATGTACTGTGAGTCGGTCATAAAGGTTTTAGTTGATTAGGCTTCATATTTCTGGTTCTTTTAGTTTGAATCTATACAGTACACAATTCCCCCTTGTACTCTGTACACAGACAGTAAAGATGACCACGATTAAACTAGTCTCTGTCTGACCATCAGCTTTGAACAGCAGATCTGAGGTCACCTGTTGTTGACGCCTCCAGTTTGTCCTTGAACACTTGTCCAAATGTTGTTTGTGTTAAAGTCCATATTGACCTGTTACCTACAAGAACACTATTATTCACTGGTACTTTGTAAATATGCAAATAAAGCGTCTTGGTTATTTTGTTTGTGTATGTTTGTGTTTGCGTCTGCTGTACTATCTGGTTACGTTTCATCCTGGAAAATGTACGTGTGTCCAGTGTTTCATGCGTCACTTCTAAATTCAGTGCAGCCTGTATGGAACTGTTTACTCTATGGCTCAGGAACAGTTTCGTGTACTTGTAGCCTGTGTGAGTTTGGTTTGCATTGGATGAGTCTTGTGCCCTAAGTGTCCCTGCTCCCATCCCAACTCCCTGATCTGTTTACTTCACCCTTAGTGATTCTTTTTTTAAAAGGTTTTATGTACATTTCTATTATACATTTCTAATATACAGCACTTTGCTGTTTTGAAATGTAATTTAGAAAAACAGTGGATTGGTTTGAAAATACCTGCTTACTTACATTGTTTATGGTCCATTACTCTATTGCAGGTGGCCATTAAAATCATTGATAAGACCCAACTGGATGCCGTCAACCTGGAGAAGATCTACAGGGAAGTTCAGATCATGAAGATGCTGGACCATCCTCACATCATCAAGCTGTATCAAGTGAGTAAATGACATGCTTTTGGTGTCTCTGGATAGCTCTCAACCATTGGCTCTTTGTTATCATTTGTTAGGATTACTGTGTCTACTGTTGATGGAATCGCTTCCTCCCATTTTCCATTGATGAATAATGGTTTATATAAAGTATCGTGTGTCATAACTGGTATTTTTGCATTTTTGCCTCTCTGTCTTATGTGACAAGACATTTTGACCTGAGTTGCCAAGGTCTAACCTTTGTCTTGGACCCATTTCTTAATGTCTGCTCGCAGTGATGAAGGAATGTTGCTTTACTGGATCTCTGCTAATTCAGTTTGTATGACACACACAGTCAAGTGTTTTAATCATCATGCACCAACATAATAAGTCTGGGCACAGTAATCAAGTGTCTTTTGTTCAAACAGTCTTAATTGTATTTGCCTAAGCTGAAGCTAAGGTGGCCTGTCAGTGGAAAATAACCTGAGCAGGTGTGAAGCATGTGACAGTGTTACATATAAAAAATATTGGGAACGCAGTAACTACGGATTGAACAATTATTTTTTTAATGGTTTGGTAAAAAAAAGAATGTCACTAAATTATTAGTGCAGAAAATGACGTACATGGCCATAAGAGACACTTACTTTTCCTTCTGTTCATACTGGACTATTCAGCACATTTAATAACCAATTATTTTAAACCCTTTTATTTGTGTTTGTTTTGTTTTTTGCTCCCTTTCACTCAACATGTGATTGTAATTTAGTGAAATTACTCAGATTCTATTAGAGAGTACTCATGTATATTTACAGAAGTACTGTTAAAACCACTGTGAACTGAGTAGGGTACTAGTGCTCTCATTTTGTACCTCAATAAGAAACCACTGATAATGACTTTGTCCAATTTTTTTATGATTATTTTAGTTTTGATTTAATGGAAGTAATTCACTTACCACATCGTATAAGTGTCATTTTTTTCTTCTACAAATTTGATTTTGGTGGTGGTATATTTCACATTTCATCTCGTGCTGTTAAACTTGTCATATTTTCTGTTATTTATGACAACATGTATTTAATTTTTTTTTTTTAATCAGGTGAAATAAAGTCATTCGTACACATCTCAGGTTGCAGGAACACTAACGTGTTTAACCTGCTATGTATCAGTGCCACAGCTTAACGAGCCAAAGCAAAGTATTTACCGAGGGTAACCACACTATGCTATGTAATAATAACAGTCATGCCGTACAGTCTGGCTGAGCAGGTCTTTTCTGTCTTGGAGAAACACAGCAACAACGTGTAAACACTGAAACTCTTCCTCACACACACAGACTTGGAGATATAACAACGGTCAGTGCATTAAAACTATAGTCATCCATGAATGAATGAGTTGTTCACAGTTTTGTACATTTCTGTCTCTTATTTTTGTCCTTTCTTAATCATGGTGAAATCCTAACCTAACCTGACATCTGCTCAGTGGGCCTTCATCTGTCAGTGCCCATGACTAGTCCATTTTGTGGAGGAGTTTGATCGTGAAGGTACCACTGAGTCGTTCCATGTGTTTTATTTATTAACACAGTGGCAAACAAGTGGTTGAGTTATTGACTTACTAATATTCTGCCATGTATCTCTAAGTATGTGTTCTATACTTTGTGAAGGGATCACTGACTTGGGTCAGGCTGAACAACGTTGTTGAAGATTATATGAATGAAAGGGTTGCTGTGTTATTGTGGTTTTCTAGTCCGTCCCTGAAATAACAAATGATAATAAGGTTTTATTCTGATCTGCTGTTGTTGTGACCGTCAACTACTGTTATTTATCATGAAAAACAAGTGTACAAATGTCTACTTTACTATGTGCTTCATCCCCCTGGAAAACAAATTAGCATTTACTTTACCTAATCCACTTTGATGTGGTTGAGGTTTTTACCAACCAATAGTAATACAGGTCATTTCATTTGTGTACTTGTTGATACCAAGTACCATCACCAGTACTTCTTTTTTGGGGTATCAGTAAATACGCAATAAACTGGACGGCAGTGTTATATAGTAGGTAGCAGTGCTCTGTGGGTAATCAGGTGACACCAGTAGGGTGAGTTATAGCACCTTGCAAGTTTTGACCTTTGACCTGAGCATTTATACGAATCTGTTTTGTTAGGACGCCGAACTTCGTACTCTCCGTATACGTGTCCCAGAGTGGAGACGTTTGAAACACCGGTGCTTGTGTCTCCGTGTGAACCGATCAGAGTCAAGCCATGCAGTCTGCCCTGCCGCTCTGTAACCCAGTAATCCTGCTCAATGTCACACCATAACAACAATGACAGAGACCACGTTATTTGGCTACTAATTTGGCTACTTGGTGTGCTACAGTTAAGCATCTCGATAAGTTAGAGTATTTGAATAAAGTGTCAGTCCTGTTACAGGTATCGGTGCATCCATACTTTTGATGCATCGCCTGCTTATGTGGCATTAGAGGCTGACAAACTGAAGGCAAGAGTTTTTGTTTCCTGCAGTAAAAGTTTCTCGAAGAAGATATTTTTAGATGCACATTTGAAAGTCATTCTTAAAAATTAAAGCTATAATTCAGGTGATATTTCTTTATTCGCTGCAGAGGCATCATTACCTAAAACTTTAGAGTGCTCCATTACCGACAGGTAAAAACAGCTCTTTGAATTAAATGACTTCATCTTCTTTTCACTGACACTGACTAAGAAAATGGTCTTAATGATTTGTGAAGCAGCTATTAAACCATCGTGACTCCTGTGTTTTCTGCATTGGTCTTATTTTACGACTTAAAGAGGATTTTTATCAGACAAAACTCTTTATTGTGATTAAAATATATATTTTCTCCCTGGCTCTATTTTATGTTTTAAATATTTGTGGAAACTTCCCATGAAGATTTGTTGTGTTTGTTCCGTTTTATTGTAGTTAGCCACGGCCGTTAACGGCGCAATCATTTCTGGTGATGTTTTTATATTTTATAAACATCCGGCTCTTTCTGCTTTTTATAGGCAAAGGAAATGACACTTCACTACCAACTAACAGTCATCTAGTTTTTCCCTTTGTTATTTTTTATGATGCCGCCTTCATTCTGTTAGTTGTCACTGACTGGAGACTGTTTTAGTCGATAGACCTTAGGAGTGAAAATGAATCATCATGGCACCACGGTCTGAGCTCCATCTAAAAGCTTGATCATTCTAGTCCTTTGATATGCTGGTCTGTTAGGGAGTTAAATGAGTAGACGTAGCCTTTCAATTCTTTTCTTCTAATATTTATCTTTTAATGCATTTAATTCAAAAGTGTGAACATCAAAGGAAGATTTTTTCTATAAACTTCAAATATAAAAGTATACGTAAAAATATGGATTTTATTTATAAGCCATTATTTATTATCCACAGCAAACCCCAGCAGTCATGGGTGTAGAGCAGAGCTGATACATTAGTCCATCACAGGGTCACATATAGGGATACAAAACCATTCAAACTATAATTCACACCTTGGAAAAATCCTTATTTCTAGTCTGAATGACTAAAGGCCCCACAGACCACAAACCCCAGTCCCAGCCCCAAAACTAAACTCAAATAATACATCCATATAAATTGGTGGTACTGTACTGTAAAATGTTTGACATATAGTTTATATTTTAAATGCTCCAAGGGACACAGGGATTTAAGGCTTTTTAAAGAATAACCACCTTTCATCCCTATGTAATGAGTAACGTGTACCTGCAGGTGGCTGAACATGATACACACTACAGTACTATATCACAGGTGTTACTGATTTTTCCGGTCTTAATGCCGTCCACTCATAATGATGCTGAGACCCTGATATTATACATGCTGTTTTACCGGCACAACCAAATAACCTGAGTCATTATTTATACAGTCAGTTACACCTGTGCTGTTCCTGCAGCAAAGAGTCCAGATGTCTTCTTTATTTTTTCCTCTTTTTTTCCGTCTGGATTTGTTGCTGTTGCTGCCCCTAACTCCTCCGTGTCTTCGCTTCATCTCTGCAAAAACACTTTTATTTCTCCGACATCACGCAGTTGCTGCTCTTTATTCACCAGAGATTTATGGTCCAACTTCACAGTATGGAAAGATAACAAATGTGTTTGTTACCAGAGTTCAGCAGAAGGAGGAGAAACAACATCACAAACAAAACAAACTCGTTTTATTTCCTAAATCTATGAATCAGTGAGTGCAGCAGATGGAAAATTGATCATAAACAATGAGCGTGGGATTTTTAGTGTGAATGTCTGGCTGGCTGCGTCTGATTCATCCTCCCTTCTTCAACTGATTCTCTCCTCTGCAGAAGAAAAAAAAAACTCTATTAATCTCCAGAGTGTTTCTATTTCTAAATCAGCTCCTCTCCGCCCACACAACATGGCACCATGAAAGAACTGAAAGGTTTTATGAACCGTTGCAGCACCAACCATCCACCTCCTTTCTTTTTTAATGGGTTCCCATATTTAGACTCTGTGCCATTCATGCATTTGGTCTCTGCTGATGGCTTTTTGTAATGGCAGATGCTGCAGTTAAACAGGAGCGAGTGAGAGCCTTGTGGGCAGTTAGCTGCCATTTTGGTCATTTGTTTCTGTTGTTGTAGATCCTTTTTTCTGCTGTCTTTTGCAGCAGCAGTCTGTTTGTGATTATGTGATGCTGTATTCACGCTCCCTCTCCCTCTCCCTCTTTTTCCTCCCCTGTCTTGGCCCTTGGTCTTCTCTACTCTCTCAGGTGATGGAGACGAAGAACATGCTGTACTTAGTCACGGAATATGCCAAGAATGGGGAGATTTTTGGTGAGTGTTTTTCTTCCTAAATGCAGTATCAGTTTTACTTCAGCATCTCATGCACTTTGCCCTGCCCTGCTTGTTTTTTATATCTTACCCTTATCAGGGTTATAGAAATTCACCTTTTTATACAAACAAGGGAGCCTCTTGAATTCCATGCCCGTGACAGTAATTCTTACCCCAATTTCAAAGAGCACAGATGTGAAATTGAGAGCAGTCTTTGTTGTTAGATGGTCTCCTTAATTGCTGACATTATTTCCTTGTCCCCTCTGACCTTGTTACCTTGTTAAAGTGAGGAAAAACATCCTTTTGTAGGATCACATGATTGTCACATACACGTCTGGAATGTTCAGAAATTATTAAAGCAAAAACAATTACTATAATTTAAGGAAATAAAGCAGCAGCTTTTATTTTCGTATGACAAAACATTAGTGTAAAGATACCCAGGGCCTTGGGACACTTCGTCAAATCAGAGAGGCTATTCTGTGTACAAATTCTGCCAAATCACTCTGCAGAATACGGATAATGTCTATAATTATATATAGCATATATTTATACACAGTATAGCACAGTACATCCCTCTACTTATCGAAGCTCAGTCGATAGATGATGTCATTTACACATGCTGCAAGAGAAGAAAATGTTTCGCTGAAGCGCCTCAAGCTTAAAATCCCATCATCAACTGCAATGTGTTTGTTGAGCCTTCAACCTCTGGTCTGACTGAGATCAGGACAGACAGCAGGTCTATGACTCACAGTCCGACTGACACAACAGTCAAAAGGATTGTTCAGGATAATGTTGTTGAGGATAATGGTTTGATTGTTTAGAAAACAACTCTTGACATGTCTTACCAAAGCCAAAGCCAAAGACTCCAACACTGTTCTTCTGCTGTAACTGTGTCTGATTCTTAAGTGTAACCAATGAGACTGCCGTAAGGACACACAATGTCAAACTAAGTAAGAATAGTGGGTGGAGATAACAAATGATCTCGTGTATCAGTGCTACACATACACGCGTAGACGCACACACTCACACGTACACATTCAATTTGTACAACTCTTTGTTATGCAAACCCAAAGGTCACAGAGTGCACAAAATGTACACCTTAAATATTATGAAGCAGCTTTTTTTTAATGTGTATATAGTAGGGATGCAGCGAAATTAAAACCGGAACCGGAAACCAAAAATGAGGAAACCAAGGTCGAAAACCAAACTAAAAACCGAAATAAATGATTATGGCAATTATTAGTACATTTACTTCGATACAATCAAGGCACTGCAATTGCATAAATTAATAATAAATAAATAATGCTGAAGGCAGCAGCCAAACAAAAGTAGTCGTAGTTACTAAGTCTTAGCAGCCTTATAGGTGTGTGTGTTTGTGTGCTACGAGCTTTGTTGACTCAGCAGCTGCTACTTCTGCTCCTGTGACCTACTGAGGACTGTGGAATTGACTGTTAAAAAACTGAAGGTGAATACGGTGTGTAAAAATTAGGAAAGTAATATGACCTGGCAGGAAGACTTGTCTGTAAAAGTCCATCACACTGAATCACATGGTGTGATGGCTCTGTGAAGACAGCAGTTCAATGACCTGTCGCTGTACAGCATGTCAGTAAACACAACCAGTTTGTTTGTCTTTATGCACGAAAGAGTTGAGTTTGAAACAAATTCAATCTGAATCTGGTATATTCCATAAAAAAACAGCTTGAAAATAACTTTGGATTGTAAATTGTAAGCCCATCACAGGGTCAGGGACAGAAATGGACTTTTACACATGCATTTATTTTACAACTATGAAACCAATCAAATTTTGAACCTACACGTTGTTGGACTAAAGGAGAAAAAGTAGAAGAAAGAACAGTCTAGAGAAAAAGGTGTGCACCAAACTGCACACCATGATGCCAGTCGTAACCTTGTTCTGTGACAATGTCATTTTGATTGATGCCAGAAACTTCTCATTTGTCTTTGGACAGGCTCTAGCTCTTTGTCTAGCTTATTGTCTGTAAGTTAAGCCAAGCTTAAAGATTCCTGGCACAGCTTTTAAATATTTACCTGACGCAGAGTCACACCACATCACAGGGGTTCACATATTTACAAGTGTTTATCTCCATATTGCCACCCTTAAGTAACCTAAATAAATTGACCAGCAACATTTGTATAATCCATCGATTTTTTTCCATGGATCATCTGAGTATTATAAAACCATTCTGTCCCGATTCCCCGGACCCTCTGCCTGGATTGCACAATGAAATGTACAGTTACGTAAGGCATTTAAATGTCATCGTCAGCTGCTGCAGGTGTAGCTCTGATTCAGAGAAGTATAAAATCTCTAGCCTGAAAATACAATTATTTATCATTTCATAAAACTGAAACACAGACTATTGAAAGTCTGCCAATACAAGTTTTTGACATCTCTGATGGCTTGGCTTTTCTGCCACGATACATTTCTCCTTTCTTCTCCTGTGATCCACGCTGTATGAAAGAGATGAACATAGAGAACCGATTGTGTTGTGATGATGGATAACTTCCCTAGTTTTCAGTTTAGGTCTAAAATTCTACATTTTCAGAGAAGGACAATCAAGATTTGTGTCTGCATTTGTGTGTGTGTGTGTGTGTGTGTGTACATGCATGTTTAGGAAATCAGAGGAACCAAGTTGCTGTTGACAGCAGCAGCAGCAACATAGCTGTCCGCACCATTCAAGTCGGATGGCTTTGTGTCTGTCTATTTTCTGTCATTCTGTGGCTCCACAGTCTGCTTCAGCACTGCATCAGGGATAAAACCTGTAAAAATTGGGTCAACCACAAACAAAGAAGAATTTCAGAAGAGAGGAGGAAGTGGAGGAGGAGAGGAGGCAGGAGCAGGGGGCATACATTTGAATTTGGAAGGTAGTGGAGAAATGTAGGGCATGCATGCTTAAGGAAGACGTGTGAGAGGGAGCGTAACAACTAGCAGTGAGGATCATGTGTCCAAGTGAGGAAAGTAGGAAAGGGGAACGGGGCAGAGGGGCTGTTTGATTTGAAAGAATTTCGTCATAACTCGTTTAGAATCACAATTAATGGGATTTTCCCCATGGATTTCTGGCTCTTTTCCTCGTTCATCGCTCTGCATCCTCCCCGAAAATGATTATATATATATAATCATTTATATATATATATATATATGTTTTGTATGAGTGTGTGTGGGTGCACGTGCTCTGTTCTAAGTTTACATACACTTAGATGTAAAGCTAACTACTTGTGTCATATGAGAGATAGTTGCCTTATCTACCCGAGGTGACCGATGCATGTGCAGATACACAATATCTGTCTCTCTCTCTTTTTCTCTCTCTCTTTAATGGCCATATTCTCTTACTTTCTTTTGACATCTGAAGCCGTGCCAAAGGTCTATCCAAGGGGCCAATTTGTACCCATGATGTTTGTCCCCTTCAAACCTCAGCAGCTGTTAAGAGACTCAGATCCACCACCACCTCTCAGCAGGAGTGGAAAGCAGTGCTGGTGGAGCGGCTCACTAATACCCCCATGATTCATACTTGTTCTGTTCTCTTTCCCAGAATGCATTTGCACACGCCTCACTGTGCCGAGGTCCTTGCCCTCGCCAACACTGTATCAGCGTATTACTCATCCTTCCACCGGGGCAACATGCACCACACTGTGCATGTGCACGAGCCTCAGACAGTAATGAAGAACAATGACTAGATCCACAGCATATCTGTTCAGTGTTGAGTCTTAACTGACTGATCTCAGTCCAACATACCTTACTGACAGTACTGTGCCATTCATTATTTATCAGCAAGTATTTTTTTAAAATCCTGGCTATTAATTAAATTTAAAAATTAAAGTTATTTCCTAAACCCAATAATGAATTTAATAGTGATGTATTTTCTGACTTTCATTAAAAAAACTGCTCTTTGAAAATAAATCATTAGCATTTCGTTTGCCAACACTTTTTTCCACATAAGGTGTTTCACAAGGATATTTGCTGTGTATTGCACTTACAATACTGCGTGATACTTTAGATACTTTAGACTTGGGTTGTATTCACTCCATCAAGTGGAAGACACATTTTAAAACTGTGACCTATGGTCTGTATGTATATTCAGAGCTGGTAACTACGGACGTTTGTGTTTTTTGGTGATTAAAAAAACATTTTTTCTGTAAGATGTTTGTAAACAGATTTTATTTATAATGAGACATTTCTTTCCACGTACAAATATCCATCCAGCATGTCCCAAGCTTCAATGTGGTGTTGTCCCTCATTGACTCACGTTACATGGGTACAAATGTGATGAGTTAGCATAGTTTTGCCTGTCTACATGCCAGCTTTTCAAACTGATGCGTGTGTTTATGGCTGTCTCCTTACAGGTGCATATTTTGGCCTGTCTGACACATTCCCCTCCCCTGTGTGTTTTTTGATTAGCATCATTATATGAAAACTGCTCTGGTCACTGAACAACCTTCTCTATGGAATTTCCCATCTGCTGTCTAATCAGGTCCGTGCACCGTCAGACGTTAGCTATTCATCATGCTGTAGCTGTGACGGAGCAGCGCCATCTCCCTGAAGCTTCATCACGCAGCTTATGGCCCGAAGTTATTTACACTGTACTCTCTTTATCTGAACACACTGATAACCTCCTGGTCATCTGTGGACTGAGGTGTAAACATAATGTGATTACAGTCTGATGTACGTCACCTGCCTAAAGACATGCTCTGTGCTATTTTGAACATCTCACATACAGTAGATGTCACAGTATATTGTTACTTACAGTATGTCAGGGACCCATGACATTGGTTTAAGGACTGAAGTCTATCACACGTACATAAACACAGGTGCAGGACCTGTAATTATATTTTTGAAAAACCAAAGAATAATTTATTACAGAAAAATAGGTCATTTTGTCACCTGCTTTTTCCCTGTTTATTGGTAGAATCCATACTATAGATTTAAAATTATACACGAACTGGTAGTCCCTAAGGATATCAATGTGATCTCAGTTTGTTCTAAAAGTAAATTACAAAATACATGTATAATAAAAAGCTCTTTGTGGAAATTGGTTATTTTGTAGTTGATCTTTAATTGGCTGGTCCTGATCTGTTTGTTGTTGTGTATTATTTGGGTGTAGATGTTGGTTGTGGTCTGTGTCCATGCCAGCTGGAAAGTAAACAAACACAGTGGCCTAGCTTGCTTTCTGCAAAGTGCAAATAAAAGAGTTATTAATCTATCAGGACAGGAGAGGTGTGTAGTCAAACAGAAAAACATGGGAACAAAGAGGACTTAAAATTAACAATTGTTAAAAAAAGTAAAAAAAAAAAAAAAACTTTAACTGGCATCGTCATTTGAACCCATCCCATGTCAGAAAGAATGTCAGAAAAAAACATTCTAAGGAATGTTTACCAGCAGACTGGTTTCAGCAGGTTTCTGTATCACACACTGGGGATGAAATCAACAAATGCATCTGATTAGACAGTTTAGATTACAGGATTTGTCCAACCAAATAAAGACAACTGAACACTCAAGCTATGAACTGCAGCCAACATAACCCCATGCTCTTGCCACAGCTACAGCTCACTCTCGTTTTTCCCTGTTAGCGTTTCTGTAGGATGGTAGGTTTGAATTCAGGGATGTGTTGAGCAAGCAACCAAAAATTCTCAGGATTAATTTAAATTCATTTGATTTATAGGAGTGTGTTATGTATAGAGACAAATGTTGTTTATGTTTCTTTATATGTAAAATGTATTCTTTCTGCTTGGTCCCTAGTTCATTTGTATTCTTTATTCTTCAGTTCTACATTTGCAGTTGGGTTGGTAATCAGTTTACACTTCCTGACAACATCCATATTCTGTCAAAAATAATTGGCTTTGACTGAGGTCGATTCTTTTGTAATCCATATCTTCACCTTCTTCTCACTCTAATTTCTTTTTTCTCTTTGTCTCCAGACTACCTGGCCAAGCACGGCCGCCTCAGTGAGCTGGAGGCCAGGAGGAAGTTCTGGCAGATCCTGTCGGCAGTGGAGTATTGTCACAATCGCAACATCGTCCACAGGGACCTGAAGGCCGAGAATCTGCTGCTGGATGGACACATGAACATCAAGATTGCAGGTAGTAGGAGGCACTGAGTGAATTTAAATCAAGTGCAATCTTTCCTCAGTGATGGTTGGTTGTGGACGCACTGACTTACATGACATCAGTGTTGGTGGAGATAGGACAACAACCAGGCTGTTTGCACAGTGCTGAGACGAGGCCTAAGGTTGCATGCAAAATTGCTGTTGGCTGAAAGATGCCATTGTAGTCGTCTTACAATTGTCACCAAGAATTCAAAGGCTGCTGCCATCATTTAAATCTTGTGACAAGAGACAGACCTGGGCTTAATTATGTCTTGATTCTTAAACCAGTAAGAGCAGTTTGGATGCAGATTTTTTGACCAAGCTGGAGGTCTGTGACACAAGCTACAAAGATAGTACGATAATTCAACAACTGGCATATAGAGCTTGTGTGCTCGAGTGGAGAGAGGGACAGACTGGGAGGGAGAATAAAGGAGACATATTCTCTAAAATGATTTGCTTCCTTGATCTCTAAATGAAATTGAGTAGCATGCTTTGGTCAATAATTATTAAAAAAAACAACTGTAATCAACCAAAGAAAGTCTTGGACGACTGAAGTCTTTAAATTCTGTCGAAAAAATCGACTAATTGCAAGAGGGCACAGGACAGGTGGGTTGTGAGCAGTGCTTGATAGCCTTGTCCGCCCAAATGAATTATAAAAAGAAATGTCGACCTGTATCCTATTCATTTATACTTTATATGCTTTGACCTAATTATTTTGCACTGTAACTAATTATACACTCAAGTCTGTCGGCTCTCAAAGCATTTTGCATCTGCGCAATATCATAGCCCATGATTTAAGAAAATATACTACGGCATGTGTAGCTCTGTCCTGACAGAGGTCATGGTTTATCTCAGGCTTTACGCAGAGCTGAAACTGACCATCCGAGGTGAGCTGTTCACATGAGAACAACAAAAAATACAGGTGTGAATGGAGAACAGACAGAGTCAGGATGTGAGCTCCTTTGTCCTCAAAAGACTTCTCATATTCATATAAACTACTTTTAAAAGGCCTTACAATGTGGCAAAAAGGACAAGGAGTTCACCTTTAATTAAGTCATAATCAGTTTTTCACTGCTTTGTGTGGGCTCCAGTAAATTAAATCAGGTAGGAACAAATTAGACAAAAGGTGACGAAGAACAGACCGTTTCACTCGCATCATCACTGGCATCGTCCTCTTCACTTTTTCTGTGAAGGTTCCAAGATGATAACCTGTAGACGTTATTACCTCAGCAGTAATTTTCACAAACATGTCTGACTCAGAGCCGATTGTCCGTTCTGCAGATTGGATTTGAAGCAGGAAAACAATGAACACAACATTACCTGGCCTCTGAATAGAAAACATGTCCCTGGGGTGGACATTAGCAGGAAAGTACATTCTGTGCTTGTTTTGCCCTCATTGCACACCGACATGTTTGGTGAATCTGACATAAAGAAATTACAAAGTCTGCTGCACATGAGAAAAATGATTATTTAATTATTATTATTTAAAACCTGCTGTGCTGTTTGCACTGTATTTAGACATGAATCCCCCCGAGACGTTGAAGCAAATGAAAACGCTGTGGTGTTGACACTGAGCTCTTCTACGTGTTGTGAATACGTAGTTATGTCTAATTGTCTCTAATTGGGGAAAATTTGGTCTCTTATCAGATGGGTGCAGGTTTTAATCCTGCATAGCTAGCTGTAGTGTGTTGCACTGAAGCACTGAAAGTCCCTTGCTCCTGTACAGAGCCTAATAAAGCCGATAAAAAATGTCTTCTTCTTTTAAATACGTCAGTATTATTTTAGCCAAATCCTGATATATTTGTTCCAGGTCTTTTTTAAATTCATATAAAAACTGAAATCCCCCTGCAGGGTCTCTGATCATTTAAAAGTATCCCATTTTATTAAAAACTAAATCATGGAAAAGCATGTGTGGGAGGACATTCGCCTCTGTGCCCTAATGGCCTCCGCTGGTCAGTCTCTGTGAAGCTTAACTGGCTGGTGCTCAGTCAGAGAAAGGTCACGTACGAAGAGGAGACAGGAGCAGCAGCAGTGGGGAAGGGCTGCGGTGCTGCCCTTAATGTTTTCACTTCAAACAGCTTCTTTCTGTTCAAGTCGACAGACAGAAGGGAATGTTAGAGCTTAGCAGAAATAAACAAAACAAAAACCAGCTGCTGTATCAGAAGAGCTAAGGAGGCAGCCTTTGTGAATTTCTTTTCCAAACACCAAAGAACGGCAGTGGAAACTAGGCCAGAGATGTTGCGAATTTAAAAACAACTCCTCGAATCTCATAAAACGTCTCGTGTCGTCCGCACAGCGATTACACACTTCATTACCTAGTATTTTGGATTTTTAAGGCCGAGCGCAACCAACACCTGAAAGGTGTTAATGGTCAATTTAACATGTGTCAAATACAAACAAATGTGAATCATCTGTGGATTTCACCCACTGTGGGACAAATAAAGGTCTCATCTAATTATCACCTTGATAACGTTCAACATTTTCTGTCTTTCCATGTTCCTGTTTGGGAATTGCTTCCTGCTGCTTCTATTCCTGACAGTAATTTTGATGCGAATCAGTGATAAGTGTCAAGCTGAGCTGGTGTTTGACAGTAGGGAGATTTGACTGAATCATTGATGAAAAAAAAAACAGGTTGAATATTTTTTACAATCAAAATACTTCATTTCTTGTGCTAATTTTAAAGTATTTTTAAGTATCACACTTTTTTAAAAAAGTAGCTTTTATGCTTATTATTAGGTCAAAAAGAAGATTTAGATCGTGTGTTTTTTTTATTGACGTTGAACATATAAATTACCACAGTGTTACTATTGTTACTGTTATACTGTTAGATGGACGGTCTGCTATAAGTCATGGCTACAGAAGATGATAACTGTGAGAGTAGTGTCATCAGCTCACCGAAAAAAGCTTCAGTAGAAATTGAAACCATAGATTTAAGGGATTCACTGGAAATTTTAAAGTCAATAATTGAGGCCAGTAGACACGTGTTAAAAAAAATAAAAATGTGTGTGTTTTAAAACTAAGGTTATCCATCAAGTGAAATGTCCACACATTTTGTAAAAACAAAAAAAAATTAAAAATAACAAAACCTTAATTCAATAGTAGTCACCTGTCAAATTGAAGGTGAAATTACACCTGGCATCATAGCACCCCCTACAGTGGAGAGCAGTGTAGCAGATCGATTTGTTAACACAAGTTCTTGCATCCTTATTATTGTCATGTCTCCTGTCTCTTTTTTGATTAAGATCATTTTCGACCATCCCTGAGATTTGATTGTGATGCAAATAAAAGTGTTTGAATGCAAAATTGTATATTACAGAATTTAATTTCCTGTCAAAGATTTCCTGAGATGAAAATGAGACAGTTTCCTGAGCCAGCGTGGGGTGTGTCGCAGCGTGACAAGTTGATTTTTGAAGCTAATAATATGCTAATACTCTTGTGCGCAATACTCAGTCGACTCGACACCCTGCCCTTCCTGTTTAGCTGTCAGTGCTGTTGGTAGCCTGCAGCTTGCTGGAGTGTTTGACGTCAGCCAGTCTGCTCAGTATTCAGCTGCGTGAAATGGGTCACAGCTTCAGAGGATAAAACCCACCGCTCTGCTCTGCTCTGCTCTGCTCTGCTCCTCCTGCATCTCACACCTCACCTCCACAGTAGCATCAGACACCAAACCCCTTTCTGGTTTTACCCATGTTTAAACCTCCCCTACACCTGATCCTTGCTGCCCTGGAACAATTGAGTGAGACAGAAGGAATTCAAAAGAGATGCTAATTCCATTTGAGCTGCAGTTATCATTGGGTTTATCTCCCAAATACGTCTGTATTTCTGTGTTACTCTGTATGTTTTTTTTTTTTCAAAACAGCACCTTTCACAGATTTCAGTTTTAAATGTTTATTCCAAATCATTTTAGAGAATATAAATCAAGTAAATATGAGGAGAAATGATTTCTGATTGGATAACACTATTTGTGATATTTGTGAAACTAATCTTATTTTTCCAAACCTGCCTAGAAAAATATGCCAGTACTTGATATTTCTAGTTGCATATTTCCAGTCATTTGTACATTTGTACATTATGTATCAATTTTAACCTACATTATTTATTGATTGTTTAATTCATGTCTGTAGAAAATTACTTAAAATGATGAATATTGTCTATTTATATTTATTGTTTATTTTTAAAAACTGTGTCTGTGTGTATGTGTGTGTGTGTGAGAGACATTTGGTTGCATATTATTTCCTCTGTGGTCTTATATTTAACCACTTGTTCTGCTTCATGTAGATTTTGGATTCGGGAACTTCTTCCAGCCGGGGGAACCTCTGGCCACATGGTGCGGCAGCCCACCTTATGCTGCACCAGAGGTGTTTGAGGGACAGCAGTATGAGGGCCCCCAGCTGGACATCTGGGTGAGATGACAGGTTGATTAATCAGGATTTCTGTTGGATAGAATCGCATGTCGGCTTCATTTAAAATCAAACATAATTTTAATTTACTTCACAAATGTGTTGATTATTTTCTGTGGAGTTAATTTAATTATAAATTGTAATAAATTACAACACACCAAAAAACCTTTAGCTGGCTTAAGCCTCTGGTCAGCAGCCCGGCTTGTGCTGGAGCAGCCTGACTAAGATCAGGACAGTCAGTCAGTCTATACTGACACAACAGTCAAATGGATTGTAGAGTGATTAATATTGTTGAGGACAACGACTAGACTGCAGTTTAGAAAGACACTGTCCGGATGAACAGTAATGACTGAAATACGCTAACTCTATGAAGAGACATTTTCACTGAGATTTTTATGGACATTTGTTCAGATTAATAATTTGGATCAGTCACAAATAAAACATTTGAGAAACACTGACATCTACCTGCTGATATTGGTCTTTCTGTTCCAGTGATATACAGAAAAAAAAATCATATTTATGAATATTTATTTATACTGATTAATCATGATTAATCCTTAATTACAGTTTATACCTTACTCATTTCCTCTGCTTCTTTCTTAAATTATTAAGAGGTGCACTGATTTTTTTTTCCCTAGTTCTTGCTGTAACCTTGCTGTGACCTAGCTGTGTGTGTGTGTGTGTCTTTCATTTTGACAGAGCATGGGGGTGGTGCTGTACGTGTTGGTGTGTGGTGCGCTGCCCTTCGACGGGCCCACTCTGCCTGTGCTCAGACAGAGAGTCCTGGAAGGAAGGTTTCGTATCCCCTACTTCATGACTGAGGGTAAGAGGAGACGAGCATCATCATTTTTCTCTGGAATTCTGGCCCCAGAACAAATAGGAGGCCGTGCCCTCTCCCACTCAGTACTTTCTCACATTCCTGTAAATGACACCCATGCAGTGAATCTGTGGGACAGCCATCCAGCTCTTTGTTCATAGTATGTCATTGAAGAGAGCAGAGATGTGGGAGACTCCTGGTCAGAATAATAGATCAGATGGTCCTCTTAAAAATCTCCAGTCATGAGGCAGGATTAGTCAGAGGTCAATACAGTGAGAAAAGGTCACTTGATCTGCCCCAAAGCTACAGTTCAGTACTGTGTTAGACCACCAGGGCTCCAGATTAAGTCAAGTCCGGTTTATGAAACATAGATAGAAGACTGTCTGTCTTTCTGTCTGTCTGTCCAATCGAATCTGCCGGTGCTGGTTGACTGTGTGACTGATTGTCCCTCTGTCTGTCTATTTGTGTGTATGTCTCAGCGACTGACTGGCTGACTGTCTGTGGTCTATCGTTGTTTCTGACTGACTGTCTCTCTTTTTTCTACCTGTCTGTCTCTATGTTGGACCTTATGACGCACAGACCTCAGTCAGTCTCAGACTTTCTGTCTGTCACACAGACTGACTCACTGCTCAGTGATCTAAAACATCAGTCTGTCTCTCTGTCTGTCTGTCTGTCTGTGGCTGATCTTCCTCCTGTCCCTGTGACGTTCTTTCCCGTCTGTAAACATGTCACAGTTCCTCCTCTGGGGCAGAGGGAGTCGAACACAACTCTTTTTTCTCCTTCTGTTCGGGATCTTGAAACAATAAAGATGTAAGGAGAGTGTAGGAGTGTAATGTCAGCTCCTTGGCCAGGCTGACACCCGAACCTGACTCCCTACCCCCAGTCCAGCCCGTTCCCTTGACAAGGAGAACAGAGTGTGCTGATTTTTTTCCCCCCTTCATCCAGGAACAGTCCATCAGTTCTCATCTTCTCTTGTTCTTCTCTCTGGACACACAGTACAGCCTGGCACCACACAGCAAACGTAGATGAACATCTGAGCAGTCTGACAGCCAAATGACTGATGTAATACCTGCAACGGATGTTTTATATCTCATGTGTTTTTTCCCAAGGCTTTATTCTAGCCTTAGTTGATTTTTTTTTGTGTAAAAAAAAAAGTCAAACACTGACAGCGTGTTTGTGTGTTTCTGCATAAACCAAAAACCGCAGGTCAGATCAGATTATATCAATACATTTGTAAAAATACGAGACAATCAATCAACAAAAGCACACTTAATAAATGTTCTCCTGTTGAATAATTATTCTATTTGCCCAGAGACCAATTTTAAGAACAGGATCAAACCAGTTCCATCATAGGCTGTGGTTGCAGGCTACGGATATGCTCGGCTCCATTCAGAAATAACTGATGCAACTTTTCTTTGTCTAATAGAAACAGTCATCAGCCCTCCTGACAATCACATGCCCGTAGCAAGTTCCAGATTTCCCTCTGTTTAATTTTAGTTCTGCTCGTAAATAGTAATTACATGTTGAGGGAGAAATAGAAAAAGAAGGAACAGGGAGGAGATTGTGGTTCACTGTGTGTGATTGACAGCACGATTGTCCAGTAAATGGCTCGTGAAGGTTCACGTCAGTGACCTCCAGGGTTCAGTAAGTTTCCCTGATGTTTTGAGGATGGTGGGCACCTCTGGAAGCACCAGGTGATCAGGTGATCAGGCTGCCAATAAGTCATCAATCATCAACATCTCATCTCACACACTGTCCAATCAGAGTCTTTTGTTTGATTTATACCTCTTTCTGTGTAGATGTGATCGTTGTTTTGATTTAGTTTAGTTTTATATATTTTTACACACTACTATAGTGTTGTATACAGTTGTATACATATACAGGTGTATACATAATGTGTTGAGAACTGCTCATTAATTTCCCAAAGGAAACTCTCAGATGGAATTTATAAAGTTCTATCGATCTAGATAATTATTCTTATCATTAAACTTTGCCCAGTCGTCTTGGGTCTTTTGTAGAAAATTATTATGGATTTAAGAGTGTGACTTTATACACAGCTGTTTCTAGCCATTTTGTTACCCTGGACAATGTTTGGCACCTCCTTAACCCCCACGCCTCCCGTCCCTTCACTTGCACCACTCAAAATAATGTTGGATACATTTTGGGTGACACTGCATATCAGTGAAAGCTCTCATCTCTCAACATATAAATAACACAAATATAATGAGAGTTCCTGTTCAGGTTTTGTGCAAATATTTAAAAAGTACTGACTGCTCACACATTATTAAATAGACACCGTGTTCAAACAACACTTAACTCTGCTATATGGAAAAAAAAACAACTAAAAACTCAAAGTCAGAGCCACTAACAGCAGATTTATTTTGTTTTTATTTATTTTTTTAATAGTTTTTGAAAGGCTCGCAGCTGCGCCGTCTCCAGCAGTTAGCGCCCTGGGCAACTGCATATGTGGCCTGTGCCTTGAGCCAACTCTGCCCTCACAGCACAGCTCGTCCAGTTTTCTATATGGTCAATGGTTTGATGAACCTCAGCTCCTAGTTTGACTTCTCTGCTGAAGTAACAGCAAAAAAATCACTTGTTTTAGTTTGTTTATTAACAGTCAAGTAAATTTGTCGATAGTCCGTACTCAAAAATAAGGATTGTATTTTATATATGAGTTGATGCCAAAAATGTTGTATTAGGTGGATGATAGTAGTAATGCTCTTCAGCTTCATGCCACTGGCTGCTTCGTTCATTCACCGTAGATTCGCTGCAATTCTACACCGCTGGGCCGAGTGCTCACTGGGATGGTTCTGTGGTTGAGTCATGGGGCTGTAATGTTCTGGCTAAGAACATTATGCCAATCAATCAGCTAGTCTGTTATGAAGTGCTGGCCCCCTCCACCAAGTCCCACATTCCCTGGTGGTTTGTAGCTTTGAAAAATGTGCTCAGTTTCACATGTTGCTATAAACACAGCTGTAGCAACGCTGGGGCTGTGTAACGTCTGGGGTCAAAATGATTGCAGCGTCATGCACTGCACTGGAAGCAGGCTGCAGCTGCGCAGGCTGCTGACCCTGATGAGGCTGAAGGTTCAGTGGAGGACATTCAGTCCTCAGGATTTGGAAAGAAAAAACAGAATGTGTGATATACATTAGAATATCATTATGTAAATGGTGTTTGTGTTGGTAACAATGTATGTTGCTGTCATGGGAAACGGAACAGGATCGATGGGGAAACTGACCCAGGAAGAACTTTTAAATATCTAACATGTAGGTTTCATTACCTAGAACCAGTGGTAAGTTAACATTTAACACATTTATTTTGATTAATCATGATTACTCACCTACATGTAATCATGATCTCAGTTAAACCTTTTAATTGATTAACCTATGACTGACTCTACACACTAACCTGTTGATTTGCACTTTAAACTCTCACCACTGTGCATTTCTTTATTATTATTATTTCTCTCATATATTTTTATCTGCTTGGCAGAAGGTAAAAATTTAGATTCTGCTGTTGAACCTGTGTGTAAACTTAGATCTCGTATCTAAGTATTGGATTTATCAACACATCGGCTTCACTTTAAGGTGGTACTGCAGCTGCAGGGTCTTTGGGTAGAGATGCTGGGCAAGGGGAGGAATGCAGTGCAGGGAGTCAGGGTGCAGACAGGCCACAGCACCATCGCCAAGGGAACTGTAATCTTGTTAGAACCCAGCTGTGTCTGACGTCAGTCTGACTGGAGGTGAGGAGTTCTCATTAGGAGGGGAGGAGAGTTGGAGAGATGAATTCTGCTCAGTGACTCACTGGTGAAGAGACCAAGAACAAAAGAAGTGGACTGTGAAATCTCTGGTGGTAATCTTGTTCCTCTCCCTCTGGGCCACTTTGGTTCATCCACTACTTACACTGGATCTCCTCAATGTTACGTTGTTCCCGTGTGTCCTGGGAAACCTGGAAAAATTAACAAACCAGTTCTGCAGTCATTGAAAAATCAAACGTCTTAAGAACGCTCAAGTTATCCTGAAGAATAATTTGTCCTCCCACTGCTTCTCCCTGGTCCAAGGTTCTGTCTGCAGGTCTGTTGTCATGTTGTTATGTCTTTAATTGCCGGTACTGAACCACATCACCGCATGTGATGTGATGTGACAAAATAGCCAGAATTGCGTGTCACTGCAGAGAAACTCTTCAAGCTTCCAGATTCTGTTGGACTTTCTCGCTGGAATCAGTTCCTAGTGTTGAAAAAAATCCAAGGTGCAGCTGTAGAAGAACACAGAACTCATGAGGGCGAGGTTGGAATAGTGTCAGTGTGTGGCCTGATAACTTGTCCAGGAAAAGTGCTGGGAAATAATAGAAACAACTGTAAAGCCTGTTTACTTACAAATGTGCTTTGTTTTTTAGCAGTTAGCCGTCTGTGTATACTGTTTATGAAGTTAACAAAAAATAACTCAACAATTTCCGTATATATTTTATGTCTTTCCACTCCTTGACAGACTGTGAGCACCTGATCCGCAGGATGCTGGTCCTGGATCCATCAAAGCGCTTGACCGTGGCCCAGATTAAAGAGCACAAGTGGATGGCTCTGGACATTCCAGTCCAGAGACCTGTCCTCTACCAACAGCCACTGTCTGCTGAGGGAGGGGCCTGTCTGGGCGAGTACAGCGAGCAGGTCCTTCGCCTGATGCACAGCCTGGGCATCGACCAGCACAAAACTATAGAGGTGAGGACAGAGCTGGTGCTTATTAACCTTAAAACATGAAGGTTTGAGGCTGAGGTGACTGTGGGCAACAGATTTGGAAATGGAAATGGTTTGAAGTCCTGTGTTAGCTGCAGTGATGGGCATAAAGTTTGGTTGAAGCTCTGAATAATCCCAGTTTTGTTTTGCTTCCCGTGACTGTTTTCACTGTTGAGTGAGAAAATAGTTCCCTTAAAAATGGTGCTGGGAACTAAAGGAAACCTCTGATGTATTTATAAAGTAATAATGTTTATAAATTGCCATAACAACTTAAAAATTAACCTTTTCATGCTATTTATTTAGTCATTTATTAAGTCAGTTTACAATTACTTTCAAATGGTCCAGATGACTTGGAAATCAATCAGTTTAATTTTTCTTCACTGCAGCATATCGTGTTTCTTTGTATTTTATACATTTTGCTTGTTTTTAGCCGTGTGTTATTAAAATGGTAAATCTGTAATTTCACTGCAGTATATTCTCTATATATTAAACCCCAAAGAAAGTACCAGCAAAACACTTTAGTTATATTTAATGACTTGTGTTTTTAAGTCAGGGTTGTTTTCTAGGTGTCACTTTTACCCTGTATCAAATTTTATATTGTGGTCAATTCTTTACATCATGAATTCTTTCAGAAACAGGGAAAGTGTAAACATGGCACCTCTCCACAACCACTGATGTCAAAGTCCCATGTCTCTGTCTCTCTTCAGTCCCTGCAGAACAAAAGCTACAATCACTTTGCTGCTATCTACTACCTGCTGGTGGAGCGTCTGAAGGCCCATCGCTGCAGCTTTCCTGTCGACCAGAGGCTCGACGCCCGCCAGCGACGGCCAAGCACCATCGCTGAGCAGACTGTCGTCAAGGTAACTGCAGGGTGTCGATAGGGTGAGGAGGGGACCAAAATAAAACCTTCACAGATTATTATCTCTGCTCTCAGGAACAAAAAGACAGATCCTGCCCTCACTCTTTATCGCCTCCATCTTTATGTCACCCTTCATTACACAATCCTTCATTTCCATTTCTTTACACATCTTTTCCTTTTTTATTTTCCTTATTACCTAAAATCTATAGAGTGTATCACAGTGTATTATAGTTTGTTCTTTCTTTATTGCTTAACAATGTAATTCAAGCCAATGAAATACTCCTGAAAGCTAAATACAACTAACAGGAGCTGATACATGTCTTTAGTGCTGTGGTGACAACGATGTTGCACCGTCCAAGATCTGCTCAGCCAAAACTTTGGGAGGAGGGAAAACATCTACTAGTTTCGACACATCAAGTTCAATAAGTCATTCAGACGTTTACCATTACAAAGAATCTGTGACAATATTTCAGTTTGGATGATTTTATTAAACAAGGATAATGAGAAGTGCAAGGAGTTCATCACAAACAGTTTATGGGAAAAAAACACATTAAATAAAATAAATAGAAATCACAGAGTTTAAAGCTCTTGATGATCAGGCTTTTCCACCAACCACCTCTTAATTTGTTAAGACTTCGAGATGCTGTTAAATTTCATCGGTTTGTTACATTTGGTCTTTACGTCTTAAATTTCCTTAAATAAATAAGTAGACTGTTGAAGCATCAGATTTGTTTTTAGTTTTCTCAGAATTTCTAATACTCAGCATAACATGAAAATCCCCATTTCTTAAATATTAAATATATATATTTTTAAATTATATAATAATTTTAATTGTTTATTGTACTGGTATGGTTGTGAAGACCAGATAATTATCAGTTATTGGTTTCATTTTGTTCATCCCCATTAGAATTGGTTTATGTTTATTTATGTTATAATTTATATTTTATAATTTATTTTTGTATTTGAGTTACAAATATCTTCACAGTTAAGTATGGCTCATGAATGTAACAGTTTTTCTTCTTGTTTTTCAAAGAAAACTTTTCTCTTTGTGATGCTCAGGCGTTTCTGTTTTCCCTCCTTCTCCACAGTCGACGAGCGGTTCCGCCCAGGTGGGTTTGCTCCCACAGGGAGTTCGTCTGCTGCGCTCCCCTGCTGTGCCCCAAACCTCCTCTGATGCCTTCGCCTTCTCCCAAACTGCTGTTTCCTCCCTGGAGCAGAACTTTATGGCCGAAGACATCAGCACGCCCAAAGTAAGCCCTGGTGGAAGTGGTTGTTATTACGCGCACATGTACGTCCTGAAAACGGATCCTCATAAACCCAGCAGAGTCATTTTCTGCAGCAATTGCTGTAACTCCCTGACTGTGGATAGACGCGTAGGTGCACGCGCCGTGTCTGTGCATGCTCCGTGTGTGTGAGCACGCCGAACTCCTCTGTGGTCGTCAGCATCAGTCATATCTCTCAGTGTGCACTGACTTATGTAAACACTCAGAGTACTTATATCAGACAGGACAGCTGCCTGTTCTGCAGTGTTCCTCAACACATATTCACTAACTGACACACACACACACACACACACACACACACCGACTGTAATCTCTGTTTGTCTGTACCAACCAGTGACCTTTTCCTCTGGGCTTTTAGTCCAGCTCACTAACTCTTATAGAACGCAGACATTAGTGGATTTTTTTTTTTACACCTGCAGTGCCACACACACACACACTGTCTTTGACCCTTTTTCCTGTTCTGTCCCTCATTGTCTTGTGTGAGTGTGTGTACAGCGGCAGAGACAGAGAGCCTGTTATCTGCATGAATGGAATATGGTTATGTAACAGGTCCTGTGATGATGATGATGACGATGACGATGTGACCTAACACGAGCTGAGTGAACACACATGGACAGGAAGCTGCTGCAGTGATCCAGCTAGTTCACCAACATGACTCCCTGACCAGCAGCCAAAACTGATTTTCTTTTTTTTCTTTTTTTTCTCCTTTTCTTCATTCGTCTTACTTCATCAACCCCTGTGTGTGTGTGTCTGTGTGTGAATGTTGGACATTCCAAGTTGTGTAACAGCATTCCTGTCCAGAAAGCAGATGGAGAACTGGGCAGAGCTGCAGCTTTATTTTGACCAGCTCCAGGTTTTCCAGTCGCTCCTACACATGGCCTTTTAGCCTGTGGACGCATGTATTTATATGTTAAAGTTTTACACAACAACACATTCACTTTATTACAGCCCTATTCCTCCACTAACCTTGACTTGGTAAAAAAAAAAAGAAACACAGGAAATCATCAAAACCCCTGCTTCGCCTCGTCACCCATGACTTTCCATTACACTTCAAAATCAATTCAAAGCTTTTTCCTTTATCCTTCATGTTTTATTATGTGTTTGGTAATAAATTAACAAAAGAAGAGAAAACAGACAACAGACATTATTCGCACTCAATCAATTACTTGTGCATTACATGTTCTCGCTACTTCCTGCTGTCTCCTGATGTTATTTCCTGTGCCCCTCCCTCTTTTTTCATTGGCTGTTAGCAACTTGTGTTTACAGTTACCATATTTTAGAGACGATAAATTGCACCGGTCTCTAACTCACTTTTTTTTTAAATTTATTTCACTGAGTCAATTTTCATTGGTTCTGAATACTTGGTTTCATTAGGATTCGTTTCCAGGTATTGGAACATACTTATTTTGTACAACATTGAATTGTGGGAAAAATCTGTAAAAATATCTCCTCCATTATGATGTGAATGATGTGTTTAATGTGTATTTGTTTGTCAGTTCTAGATCTCAGCAGAGAAATGAATGTATTTATTTGTCAATTTTGGTGTGACACTGTTTACCATCTGAGGTGGTTCACACTAATATGACCTTATTGTCTTTGTCTCTCTCTCTCTCTCTCTCTCTCTCTCTCTCTCTCTCTCTCTCTCTCTCTCTCTCTCTCTCTCTCTACATCCCCCCTCACTCACATCCAGGTGAATGGCTGCATGCTGGACCCCCTGCCTCCCACCACTGTCCTCCGCAAGTCCTCCACCTCGTCGCCTAGCAACATGATGGAGACTTCGATTGATGAGGGCATCGAGACTGAGGAGCCAGACACAGAGGATGATCCATCTCACTTGCTCTCAGCCTATCAGACAGCTCGGTTTGGCCAGCGGCGACACACCCTCTCTGAAGTCACCAATCAGCCAAACCAGGGTATTTTTATACAAAATCTCACGTCAATCACCTCCATTCTATCCTTCATAAAAACTCTGTTCTACATGACTTTTGTCCAACAGGTAAATTATTCACACTTGGCCAAAACCCGTCCATGGGGAGTGTGGACTCCGACATTGGCTACGACATGGGTTCAATGCACAGTGACATTGGTTTGCTGGAGGACCCTCCCTCTCACACGGACCTGGTACCGGCCAACACCTCTACCCCTGGCATCACTCCTACACCTTTCTTAAACACGCGGCCCGCCAACCCGACAATGGCCGCTCTGACGTCCCATCACAGGGAGACGCACAACCGCTCCCCCATCAGCTTCAGAGAAGGACGCCGGGCCTCAGACACCTCCCTCACCCAAGGTCAGAACCGAATGTGTTTAACTTAACTTTTTACTCATTCCTCATGCATCCATCTCCTCCTTATGGACTCCTAATTGTCCACTTCTCCGTATGCACTCAGAGTAAACTGTCTGTTTAATAAATGAAGTGCTTTCCTCATTCAGTCCAGACACGCCATCTGAGGGTCGTCCTCAATATGCAGCAGCATATTCCGCTGTAATAGCTCTATACAAACTCTCACTGTCTGCGTTACGTGACAGTGCACGTAAATGAGGCTCTAAAGAAGAAATGGAAAGACAATTAAGTTCTTCACCGACCGTCGGTTGTAAGATGGGAATTATTGGTAAAGTGTGATTTTGTCAACATTACAAACTAATGGGGGTTTTAAACTGATTTATCACAGTGTAGTTATGTATAAGATTACCATTCATCATGAATAGTCATGATTATAATTAAATATGATTAGTCATGATTATTCATGATTAATCCTCATGTTCAGTACCTGTGAGGTTTTGGTAGAATGCTCTGGATCATATTGTCCTTGCACTGACATGTTGACATAACACTGACCAGACATTTGCATAAGGCTCACTTATTTGTCATCTCCCATGTTTAGAAGAGTATTAAAAACTTGAAACACATCCTTGTCAAGGTACATCAGGAACAGATGGAAACAATTGCTATGCATTTGAGATCAGTCGTGGGTTAACTTTGCACAATTAGGCAGTGAATCCTGATAAACTTCTGTTTATCAGGATTCTGTTTATCTGTTTATCAGTGTCACATAATATCAGTGTCACATAAGTGCTGTTAAAATATTCATATTTTAATGTAATTGATAACATGGGAGCTGTGAATTTATCACCGGACTTACCCAGGTACCGCCAGTAGTACACACAATAGTTTGAGAAAGAGATTTGAGATTTCCGCTGGAGACTCGTCGACTCTCAGAGGTGGAGACAGAGAAACTGAAGTGCTTTAACATCAGCCGTCAGTGAGGCATAAGTGTCATGAAAACACTTTCCTTACGTCACTGTGAGCTGCTGGGGTTTGACGAGACAGAAGTGTCACAGCACACAGTGTCTGTGGCTCTGCAGCTACGCAGCACCAGTGGGGAGGAAGTGCAACTTCTAATGACACAGATGCAAAAACGCTGCCGCACCTGCTCGTCACGCATACAATCTGTACCGTGCTCTGAAATAGGTGCCTCATCACCACCCTCTCATTTGCTCCCCTTCACCTCTTCCTCACATATACACCCCCCACCCCATCCTCTTCTCCCCTCCTCTGTTCACCCCCCCTTCCGTGACGACTACAGAAGTGATGATTCACGTTGTGAATCACAGAGGTATTTGAAGATTTCAGCCCACATATCTCCTTCACTTTCCTCATTTTTTCCCTGTGTCTGCTGCTCATTCTATCATTTTTCTTTTTTCTTTCTTAAACTTTAATTCATATGCAGGCATGATTTGTCACTGCATCAGACAAGAAAGAGCTGAAGTATAAAAAAAGAGATGTTCAGACAGCCTCCGTCCTCATCTTTCTGTACAACTTGATAATTCCGTCCCTGCTGGTTGTAAATCACCTGCACTTCAGACTCTAATTACAGCCTACTGAAGGTTTGCTGCCTCTTCTGCCCCACACCCAGAGCCTGCGCTGCATGTTCCCTCTCTTCATCTTTCTATTTATTTATTTACTCTCCATAATCCTCCTCAGAGAGCGTGTTGATGCAGAGGATTCTTTTGCGTCAGGCTGCTGACTCTGGTTTTAAATAACTCCTGCCGTCGCAGTGAGTCAGGTCTGGTCGTTCGCAGATGCAGTTCGTCAGCAGTGGATGGGTTTTAGCACTCGCTCGCACACTTTTCACCTGGGCTCAGTACACACACTCATCCACGCACCGGTAGTGAGTCACAACATTCATCCAATCGGAGTCCATCTGGTCAATCAAAAACACAAACAGCTTCACCTGCGTCAGTGGAAACCACAGTAGTGTGCAGAGGTTTTAGGTGTGGTGATAATTAGTTATAAAGACAAATTGAGTGCTTTTGTTTTTCTGAGGAACTGAGTAGTTGCATTGTTCCCAACGTCATGGAGGAAGGAAGGAAAGGGAGGAAAGTGAACTACTTGTCATTGTGACACAGCACACCACTGCACACAACCAAATGTGACCTCTGCTTTTAACCCATCACCAAAGTGACCAGGGTGTAGGAACGGTGCCATGCTGAGATCACCTCAGTGGTAACTTGGCAGCTGGTGGACTCGGACCTTCCGGACCTAAGTCTGCTTCCTTAACCACTAAGCCACCGTTGCCCCAATGAAATTTGTCCTGGCCTGGAATGGAGAACTGTCCGTGGATGTTCTGCAGCTGAAGCTGGGTCTAAAACCTTTTCATTGGAATTTGAGATATTAGAGTAGTAAATTATTCACATGCATATGTTGTACACAAACATACACAAAGCAGTACATTAAACCTGCCAAGTGTATATAAGAATCAACTCTTTAATATAGACTGGTGTTTGAAGCCAGAAGCATGTTAGGCTATGGTGGGCTTCATAAAATAAAGCTGCGGGCCATATTCGGCCCACAGGCCTTGAGTTTGGTGAAGACACCTGACAGATTTCACGTGTAAAATAAAATATCTGTTTGTAAGAGCTTACTTTATATAGAATGTTTTTTACCTTTATCTTTTGAACTGGATCTTAAAAAATTAAAAATAAATTGTCATTAATGCTTTGTTTTGTCCTCTCAGGTCTGGTCGCATTCCGACAGCATCTCCAGAACCTGGCAAGGACCAAAGGCATCATGGAGCTGAACAAAGTACAGATGCTGGTGGAGCAGATGGGCTCCGGGGAAGGGGCAGTCATGGGCCCACTGGGACCACAGCATCACTTGCACAACCTCCTGGAGGTAGGTGTTGTTGCATAATCAGCCACTCTCACACACCCATTGAAGACATTTTAGTTCCCAGCATCGTTTTGAGCCCCGCTCCCTGGACTACCTCATCCCTTGTTATCCAGAAAAAGCCCCCGGCCTGTTGTGTAACGGCAGCAGAAACAGCCAACTGTGGCTTGTTTACTGTCTCTTGTCCCCCTGGGGGCCTGGAGCCTGCAGTTTAGGCCAAAGTGAATGTGGCCATTGTTAAAGCTGGTCAGACTGAGCTGTGGTAATGACGGGCACTGAATAAACAAAGGCACACTGCGCACAGACGCTATCACGAGCACAGATAGGATCTGTTTTTTTTCCTCCTGTCCTCTTTGGTCTAATGTCATAACACGGCTTTTTCTTGGTTATGATGCTCACTTTCCATCATCCATTTAATTTGCCTTCATTTCATTTAACTAATGTGTAATCCCTGAGGTCCATGCCATTTAGAGAAAAGCATCTGGCTGATCAGTCACCGCTCAGGCATCTGGACAGGAGACGGCACAGATAATCCAGTTAGACCCAGTGATGAAGCACACACACCCTGACACAGCTTTATTATCTGACAGGAAAGGGCATCTGGGATACTCGTGCTGCGGACTGAGTGTGTGTCTGCAGACACATGGACAGACGCCCACACGCACACACTTCTTGCGCTAATGCTTTGTGTTTTCTCTGATCACAGGGCGAGGCTGCCAAGCAGCAGGAGGCTCATGCTTTATACCAGGGGGCGCCGCAGCCTCCTCTCCTGTCCCGCAGACAGAGTCTGGAGACGCAGTACCTCACTCACAGACTACAGGTAGAGCTGCGCGCTCATGATGTGTTCTCGTTATCAGAATCAGAAATAAAAAGAGGATTTATTTTATTATTTATTATTTTTATGTATTATTTTAAAAATATATATATATGCAACAAAAGAGAGATAAGTGGGAACAACGTGATATTGTTATTCTTCCTTAAAAAAAAAAAGATTTAAAATATGCTTAAATTACAATAAATTATAGGCTGGTGCAGAAATACAGGCCAAAAACGGACCAAAAAAAGATTACACAGATTGAATCAGATTACAGCACAAATGTTGATAGAAATCAAATAAAAAAATATATAACACTGATTATATAGGAATATTGAAACAATATCACACATGATACTGAACAAATATTGATTATACTATCAACCAAAATACTGCACAAATTAAATTCAAATATTGCAGCATATCAACCAGAATTTTGAACAAAATTTACAGATTAAACACAGATTAAGCAGAGCACAGTAAATGAAAATACTGCAAAAAAGACTGAACAAAAGGATTTCACAGAATAAACAGTAATATTGCACAGATGTGGACTAGATTATTGTACAGTAGAATCAGAGTTTAGCAAAATATCTCATGTGCAACAATAATACTGAGGGAGGGGTTGAAGAGTTTGATGCCCCCCTCAGGCAAGAATGATTTCCTGTGGTGCTGTGTAGTTCACGTTGGGTGAATCCTGTGTCTGAGCGGAACGTCTCAGAGTGGATGAGATTACTGCTGTTTTCATAATGAAGACTTGCGTCCTTGTAACATGTAGAGAGAAGGTATTAAAATGTTGCCGTCTGTTTATGGTACAGTGACTATGAATCAGTGTGGCCTGTCAGTTATTCTCAGCCCAGTAATGTGTCCTGCTCTCACTTCTGCTCTGAAGGCTAACGTCCTGGTCAACAGTCCTGCCAGCTGTCAGCTCTTCTGTAAGGAGACGCCACGGAGTTTAGAGCAGCAGCTGCAGGAACACAGGTAAAGATGACAGTGAGGGAAATATTTCTGTTTTGGGATCTGTTATTTTTTTTAAGAAGCTGGGGTTTTTTTTCCCTGTTTTCAGCTTTTGCTTGTTTTCTGATCCACACCACATCCACATATATTCTCTGAACTCTGTTGCTCCCCCTGCAGACTGAACCAGAAGAGGATGTATCTGCAGCAGTCACAGGGCCTGGGCTTGCAGACCTACTTTAACCAGATGCAGATAGCTGAAGGATCGTACCTCGCTGGCAGCACCCCCCTCGACCAGGCCGCTTCTCAGAGCCCTCCTCAGGCCCCAGTGATGCCAGCCCCCCTTCAACCTCAGCCCCAGCAGCAGGACGGCCCTCAGGTGCCACCGCCGTTCAGTCACCCCCTTACTTTAAGCACCTTAATGGAACCTTGTGAGGGTCTGGTTTACGACCCGTACATGAGCCACCATCACTACACCCAGCAGTTACCCCCGGGTCCTCACATCCACCACCAGCTCCAGCACCCCCAAAATCATGAACCTTCTCCCAGCGGCCTGGGCTTCAGCTACACCGCAGGTTGCGACCAGCAGACGCTCGACCCTTCCACCATGGCTCCTCACCCAGAGCAGTACGAGTTTCCGGTGGACCCCAATTCACTGGTGCCCTCTGCAGGGGAACCTGAGGCCGCGGCCAGGGCAGGAGGGCTGTTACCCAGTCCTGGGCAGACAGATGGCCTGAACCTGCCAGAGCTGCAGAGCTCCCTGCTGGATAGTGAGATGATGGAGACGGTGGACTCCCAGCATGGCTTTGTATTGGTTAATTAAGCTGGGGGTCGGAGGTCGTGATAAGAAGCGGTATTAAGCAATGTGAACCTACTGAGCATTTAAAGCTGAGAGAACGGAGATTTAAGGGGGTGGAGGCTTAGCAACAGGGATGGAGAAGGGTAAACATTTGTATATTGAATACAAATAAAATTGTAGTTGTGATGAATTCAAACAACATTTCTACCATAACCCTCCCTCAGCCTACCTCCCTTTCTCCTTCTCCTGTTCTGGCTCTCGTCAGCTGTGTGACGCAGGAGCAGGTCCGAAATGTGGCACGGCACGAGGAAGTTTGTTCGCTCGTCCTTCTTGGTAACGCCATCTCTGCCGTCGCTGCTGCTGTTGTCACGGACGTGACGCCACCTCTAAGGACTGAGCCTTTCGGTTCGTAGAGGGCACTGCTGCACCTCTGGAAAGCTGCGGTTGTGCAGCTTTTCACCAACGAACATTTTCAACATGAATTGAATCAAAGGTTGACTCTCTGGCAACCGTAAGCACACTGTCTGACAGTGTTTGTTTTTTGTCTTTTTGGTATTCCTGGTGGAACACCGCGTACACACAGTGAACAGACTCTGGTGTTGTTTCTTTAATGAGATTTCAAACTGAAAAAACAAACACGAGCCCTCATTTATCACGGTGCCATGTAGGTCACTACTCACCAAGCTTTTGAAAGTGGACTCTCAACAGCCGACAATATGAACATGTTTCAACACTAATAACACAGTATTCCTCAACGAAACATGACCCTGCAGAGGGGGGCGACAGGTCAGCACTCACATTGTAACAGAGATCAACCTTTGTCCAGTCTTTTCGGACACAGACTCTGAGACACACCGTGCACGTTAGCTAGATGTTTGTTTTTTTTTCTTGTAACTACTGATTATCATATTCTATTATTTCTTACACTACTGAACGGCTCCATCTTCCCATCCTCAGCTTTAACTGCACTCTGAGGGATAAACTACCCGGTTCTAAGCGGTTCCAACGTTGAATTGCATCATGGCACCCGCCTGATAAATGAGGGCTGATGTTATTATTATTATAATTAACACTTGTTGGGTTTAGAAGTTGCCGTGTTTGACAGTCAATATTCTACTTTTTGTGGCAATACTGAAGCAATATGAATCCTTACTGTGGGAGGATCATGAATGAGAGCCTCACCTGTGCAGACAGATTTGTTATTTTCATCAGCTGCGACATCACTGGAGCTGATGACATCACCAGGAGATAATCTCCTCATGTTTCCTGGAAGTGCAGGGAGATGCCTGAAGACTGTGTGAATGTGTGCGTGTGTGTGTGTGTGTGTGATTGTACAGTGTGTATGAATGTTACAGAGTGATAAAGATTGTTTTTGCACACATTTTCTCTTCATCCGTCACTTTTTTTTGTCATCATTACTGAAACGCTGTATCAATGCCTCCAAACACAAATGGCGAGGGCTGGACTATTTGTTTCACCCGCAGAGTTTAACTGGAGCTTCTGGATTAAATTCTCTGTTCCAGTCAGGCTTCTGTATCCTTTTAAATTACAGATTATGTTTTAATTCCAACGAAACAAACCCACCGAGACTTGGATTTTTAAGAATGTTTCTCTCTGATGTTCAGAGGCTGCTGTCACACGTGACTGACATCATCAGTCACGTGACAGCAGACTCTAGTAAGCAACAACAGGAGTATTTGTGGCACTTTGAGTAAATTCTTACTTTATTGGAAAGGCAGAGTAGTGAACATAAAGTACAAGTGAGTTTTGAGGAAGTCTCGTCAACAGCAGCAAATGATGGTTAGGAAAAAAAAATGGACCAAGTGTGAACTGTTGAAGTTCTGTTCAAGACTGTGAGGAGAAATCCACTCTAACATGCTCTCAACATGAAATTAATTGCTCAATCACATTTCTGAAGTATTTTTAAAGCATGTGATAATTTCACAGGGCCCCAAATAAGTTGTTTTGTTTTTTTAGTTTTATCCAGGATACAGGTTGAATTATTTTCACATAATCTTTCAAATAATAATTTCCATTTTTGTATAATTGGCAGTAAGATAATCCTGGTTTTTACACTGCAAAAGGGAATTGTGATGATGCTAAAATATCCCCAAAAAAATACATGTAATGAAATATAATGATCTGCTAGTTTTAATTGTAATTTACCTTTTTAGTGTGAATAATGGGCCTGTTTAGTTGAAAACACCAGTAATTTACTTGCAGAAATTGAAAAAAAGCTTTTGTTAAGAGTAGACTTACCTGAAATAATAGTTTTAAATTCCTTATCAACTTACACCAGGAGCAGATTCTGTCACATTTCATCCTCATGTTTTTTCCCCTAGGCTTTCAGGAGAATAACTTAATAAATATGTTCCATTCCAATAATAACTGAAGCCTGTTGTTGCTATTCCGTTTGACACGACAGGATGAGATTTGTGAAGTTCCTCCACCACAGGCTGGTAAATCCTTTAAAATGAAAACAACTAGAATGTGGATTATCACAAGGTTCAGACAGAACTCTCTGACGTCAGAGGAAAAGCTCTGTAACCTCTGATATTTATTAGTCACAGATACTAATAACTACTGTGAGCTGAGCCTCTTACATAACAGACCCTGTGACTGTTTTTTTATTTTTACCCAGAAACTTACAAACTGGGCTGAGTTTGTATCCTGCTGTTTAATACATATTAGTGAGAGGGAAATGGTCACGGACCGTTTTTGGTCCAATTAGTAAATAATGATTTAGGCAGAGAGGTGGAAATGTGTAAAGACCTCGACCGTGTTGAGAGGATTAAAGAGTGGATGTCGCCTTTAAAGTCAGTATTTATGCCGATAGTTTTCTTTAATGTTGTCACTGAAGAGGCAGCAGCAGCTGCCGGGTGACGGCTGGAAGCTGAAATACTGGAGCACTTTGATGAAGGAGGGGAAGAGGAGATGTAGTGGGAGAAGAGGAGGAGGAGGAGGAGGAGGAGGAAGAAAAAAAGTTTTGTTGCTCTGTTGTTTCCTGGCAGAAGAAATCAACCACAGTCTGTAGGAAACACTTTTCTCACCCCCCTCTCCTTCTTCTTCCCCTCTCTCCCTTTCCCACCAGTAATGGACACAAAAGAAATCTTTCAAATAAAGACCAGACACAGAAACACTTCATCTGATTTGTTGATTTCAGTCTAAGGTGTGTGTCTCTGATGAGAGTGTTCTTTGTACAGACTCTTGACGTGGTTCATCTCCAGTGTTCGGTCACGCACCACTGGATTGAATTGTTCTTTTTTGTTGTTGTTGTTGTTTTGTTTTGTTTTTTCAATCTGCGTGTTCTGCCTTTTCCTTTCTGTATTTTTAGATTTGAATGGCACCGCGACTCGTGTTTGGACTTTTCTGCATTTGTTCTGTTCTCCTGAAGTAAGTCCAAACTGTTTTTCACTAAGGTACAAAAACCAAAGTCACTCTGAAGTTTTCCATGTTTTTCGACTCAACCATGTGAAGTTTTGAAGCTTCTCTCCCAGCTTCTACTTCTACTGTGCTCTTTCCTCCTGGCTCAGTCGTTGTATGCCATTGAAAAGTATTATAGCAATATTATCTGTAGTTGAAGACCTACAGGTCATGAAGAATTTAGCAGACGTGTGTCTGAGTAGAATAAACTTCGCCTCCTGCTGATGAAACAAACATCTATGAAAACAATGGAAAATACAGTTTTATATTGACCTTCATTGATGTGACCACACATAAGCTAACTTACTGTTGAGATTAAAAAGGTTTATTGAACAGAACATCACTGTGGGTGTTGTCTCTGGGTTTTTTTTTTTTCTTTGTTTTATTTTCTGAATGCTGCGTGCTGAATGCTGCGTGCTGGTGAAGTGATGCTGGTGAAAATGTCAGGTTGTAGAGGAGACATTTCAGCGTTGTCTCAGACGTGATCTCTGCTTTCTGCTCTGCGCTAATCCACTTGTCCTGTAAGCACAAACTGCAGCCGTCTGATAGTGCCCCAGAGATGCACGAGCGTAGGCGTGAGTCGAAACCTGGAAAATGAATCACACCGAGTGCTTGATATGAACTGTTGAGTCACAGCCAAACCTGAAATCATTTCAACCAGCGTTCCTGGTCGTGGCATCAGAATCAACCAGACCGACTGTGCCGCATGGTTGAGATATTTATATTTTATCATAGTTTCAGGCGGTAAAACCCTAATTGCTAAAGACATTTTTCAAACTAATGAGATGAGAAAGAATAAGGGGAACAAACAGACGAGTGAGAGTGAAAGAGAAAGATGTAAAAGCAGTCAGGACACGGAGCTGAATTCATGGACCCATCTGCTCTGACTAAGAGGTGAAGAGAGAGAGAGGGAAAAAAACGCCGCTTTTCAGCCTCAAAGACTTTTATTTTCTAATTAAACTATTTATGCAACCTGATGACGCACAGGCTTTCAAGGCTGCCTCAGGGGAGTTGAAGGAACATTAAAAAGTTGGTTGAAAGTGTTTTCTTACAGGACAAACTGACAAGTGCACAGAAAAGGTCACACCAGAAAAAAAATGTTTCTATCTAATATCTGAGTTCACATTATTATTCTGGTGATCATAAGAGAGACCTGCATCAGTTAGTAAACTACTCATTATGCAGTGATGTCCAACCTCCAGGTCACAAACCAAAACTGGCCCGAAGGTCATTCAGCAGTTCTCAAAAACCAAATGAATCCAGTCCAATCAGCCCACTCAGACAGAGAACAGCTAATCCCACGAATACACCAGCCGAAGAAGGTGAGAGCAGTGGAGGAGGAGGAGGGGGGCGAGTGAGAAGAGGAGGAGGGGGGTTCATGGAAAACACTGTCTCATATCTTTTCCAGGGATCTGACCCTGAGCTCAACACATGTCGTCGGTTTTCCTGAGCCGATCTGAAGGTCGGCGCTGGGTTCTTCCTGATCCGCTCAGGGTCCAGTCAGGGGTGAAGAGTCGTTCCCCTTCCTCGTGAAACTGATGGTCAAATATTTCATGTTTTTTTCATGTTTAATTTTTAAAAGAATGAGCTAAAACACAATCAGCCTAATGATCAGTTCATTCAGAACAGTCTGATGAGATCTCTTCTCATCTGTAGAAATGCAGTGTATTAAACACTACTGATGCTCATCTTAAATGGTCTTCAATGGCGCAGCTGTTACTAGAATCTGACAGGATTAACTGAAATGATCTTAAAACTCCAGACTTGTAGTTGGTGAGTACATGTTCTATTTGTGGTATGAACCGCTGTGTAAAGAAGATAGATAGATAGATAGATAGATACATAGATAGATAGATAGATAGATAGATAGATAGATAGATAGATACATAGATACATAGATAGATACATAGATACATAGATACATAGATGGATAGATGGATAGATGGATAGATATCACTTTGTTAATCCCTTGGGAGTTCCTTTTGGGGCATTTGGGAAATGTACTATTGTCTATCTGATTGCTGGGTTTTTATTTATATCTCCAGGTCTGGATTGGAGAAAGAAAAGTCCCTTCCACAGAACCCAGACTTCACTGGGATTCAATGGAGCAGCAAGCATTTTGTGTAAGTTGGATTTCTTCATGATGATTGTTTGATTATTGACAGCACAGTATGTGTCAGTCCTGTGTTGATGTGTGATTGATCTGTTTTTTCTTGTTTCACATTTGTATCATTTCCTTGTTTTCTACTCGGTTGTTCATGTCTGGCTCTAATATAAGGTTTTCCTGTTACACATGAAGCAATAGAAAAATCCAATCACTGAATGATGCCTAAGGTTTTTTATCCATCCATCCATCCATCCGTCCATTTTTGCCCGCTTATCCGTTACCGGGTCACGGGTCCCACCCAAATCACACCTTCCTGCAGGTGGTGAGTCCACTGGAAGGTACCAACAGCCCTAACCGGGATTCGATCTTGTCCAGGAGGTGAACCCTGGGGTTCCACACTTTGCCTCTGGGCCAAAGCACCACCAAGTTTTTTATTTAAACTGATTTTTTATATATATATGTGCAGATACGACCTTCCAGTAATTGTTCCCAAAAGCTGAGGCGATTTTCACTTAAGCCTAGTTATTTATAGCGCAGTCTGTTTTCCACGGCAGTGTGACAGTGTCAGACCTTCAGACTGTCGGAGTGACTTTCTTCTCTCTCCTCTTCATCTGCGTTCTTTTTTCTCCTTCTGCGTAATTTCTCCTTTGAGTGAAACATCAGTGCATCATCAGAGGTTTTTTTTTACACACATCAGCTTGAGGTATACTGTAATGACATCAATTGTTTCCATGGCAACAGAGGAGGGCCCATGACAACATCCGACTGCGTCTTTTTTTTTTTTACTGGAGATCAGAGCGATGTTCGGGATGAGAGACGATCACAGGGACAAAGGCTGCGGCTTTGATCATGGACGACTGAAAATGAGACTTTTGTTACAAACACTCACACACACACTCTCTCTTACCTTAGCTTTCACTATTACACATATTTTGTGTTTATTCTAAATCTTTTCCCTAATCCTACTCCTACACTGTGACCATAAAAAAACAGAAAATCACCAACACGTAAAGATTTAGTAATTTCCCAAAATTAAAATATAATTTAAACCTGACATTTGATGTGGTTATTACCATTCTTTTTTTTGTCTATGATATTGTTGAATATAGGGTTATAATATAAATAATGAGACCTTAAAAGAAGGAAAGTACAAGTATTTTAATTATCTTTTTTTTGCATTTTCCCAGACAATATAATGTATTGTCGTCATGAAAAGGACACAAATTGCACAAGATATTTTCAATAATATTTTCAATTAAGAAATACATTTCAGTGAAATTATTTATTTATTATTTATTCATTTATTTTTGTAATTTTATCTAATTTCACAATTGTTTTGCAGAAATGAAAAAAATACTAACAGCTTATTCTTGTAAAAATATTTGTGAAAAAAGACTATTTTTTAAATGGAAATGTTTTTTACTTTCTGTTACTTTACCACTGAGAAATAAAATAATTTATTTAATTTATTTTTGTAATTTTATGAAAAGGTTTTTTTTTTTGCAAGGATAGAGGAAAAAATACTAATACTTATTTTTATACTTGTTTTACAGTGGAACTCACACTCCCCACAACAGTAGTTTTTCAAAAATCAAATTAAATACTTTTATTAAATTAAAAGAAATATATGTCTTTTGACATATTCCTAATCCAGTACCTAATTGAGTCATTCTTGGTCAGATGTTGAAAAATTATGATGAATTGTTTTGGAAAATTTTTTTTCAAAATTTTATCACATGTGCTTGTTTCTCATCAAGTTAAAGCATTTTCAGAAGTTTTTTTTACTGGAAATTTTCAAAATAATTCTAATTTAGCATGTTGTTTTTGGACAGGTGATAAATGAATTATCATTCATTTTTAGATCATTTTAAGAAATTTTGTTTCCAAAATTGATCATAATCTTAACATGCATGTGAGCGGAGCTTCTCTACATTAAAATGTGTGGAGAATACTCTACGAAGCTCACTATCTCAGGAACTCTTGGAGGCCTTAATGTTAATGTACACAGAGAAGGAGATTCTCAAGTCTATAGACAATGACATTGTCATTAATAAACTTGCAGAAACCAGTGCTGTGCTTATTTGATGCTGAAAGTAGCCTACTAAATATGCGTGTAGCTACTACTAAGAGTTTAGTGTAAACCTAACAATAGAGCACCTTTCTGTTGGGAAAGCAAATGCAATTTTGATTTCAAATGACTGCTCATGTACAAAGATAAATAAGTGTTCTTCTTTATCAGATTGTTTTACTTTTAAAATATTTATCTGACAATTAATTTATGCGAATGTGAAGTGTTATCTATTAACTTATACCCAATAAAAAGGCATTGTAAGAGCTAGCTGCTTTTTAATTTATTCAAATTCCTCCATCTGAAATGACTATTAACAAAAACAACAATTTGAAATTATTTTTAAATTATTAATTTTTGTAGATTTCCACCAATGAGCTTCGTCGTCTAGCTAAACTAAACAAAACACACTCAAAAAAAAGAAAAAGAAAAGAATGTGAATGTCGGCGGTCAAGGGTAGGGAGCGCGCTGAACATTTGTATAACGGAAATAGGAATACATTGTACGGTCCTTGTTTCCGATTGCGGATCTGGCGCACGAGACACGAGTGTTAGCCGTTTGGGCTTCCAGTGGGCGTTCAAGTAAAGAAACCGGGTGCGGTGGCTACATCTGATTGATTGAAATGGTGGGTTTTCTTTAAACATTTGTCGATTGTATTTTGTTTGAAATGGTAGTCGATCGGTCGAGAGCGTTAGTGCAATTTACGCTAGCATATGCGTCTCGGCAGCTAACGTTAGCTTTTGTCAGACGGTAAATGATTTGTAGTTGATTTGTTGTACTAAATAATGAATATAGAGTTTTCGTGGTAAATAAGGAATAGGCCTTTGACAGGAGTTTGAGCTGGGTGGATGCACTTTTCTGAAAATATAAAATGAACTTCCAAATATGGAAGTTCTGCTTGTTTTTTTTTTTTTACAGAAACCCATCCTACTGCAGGGGTCCGAACGGTCCACCACTCAGATCAAGTACAACGGAGAAAGAGACCTTCTGTTTTCTGTCTCTAAAGATCCAGTGAGTGACACGAAAATATTTCAAACAAGTGCAACCAATGACTATGGGATAGTTATTAGTTTGACGTCAAGAATATGGAATGTCAACTTGAAGCGGCAAATGGCAACACGACTCTGCTAGTTGAGCAGTAGTCATCTGCTAGTTTTGACTAGGCTATACGCTCCATAGTGTGTGTGATATGAAAATCATACTGTAATCATGAAAAGGGGACACGACTAAGGCCAGTAGAATTGATTTATTTTCATTCAGATTAAAAGGAAAGTAGTGCAACATGATTGCATTTCTGAGGTTATTTGTGGTGCCAGTAATGTAGAGCAAACCAATGATTGCATTGAAGCCTTTTAACATTTGCCTTCAACGTGTGGTACTCGGTACCTACAACGGACACACATGAGCTGTGCGGTGCATTGACTGTGACTGTATCCTTTCATGTTAGCTCGGTATGCTGCCGTGTCTTCACCAGGGATGTCATAAGTTGATATTGCTAATAACTAGCGATAAGAAGGCCCTAACATTTCCAGAGTAGTGTCAAAAAATATAACCAAAGTGAAGGTGAACTCCAACAATAAACAAGGGAAGACTGACATACTGCAACAATGTTATGACATTAAAGGTTATGTTAGCATGCAACAGCACAGTGTCCAAAAGTTTAATTTCAGGTGCCACAAAAAAAAAGTCAAACAACGTTTATTACTTGAGCAGCCTAAAAATGACCAGGACGATGGCGTTCACGTAACAGAAACCAGATGATTTGGAATTCTTGGTGTGGTGGAGTCCACCAGCCCAGGTGATGGCGATATGGGTCAGCTGCTACACCTGAAGGAACTTAATCAATTTCATACGTGCATGAGTGCGCGCGCACACGCTCAAATAATGAATGAGGGTAAATTTTTACCCTCTATAATAATGTGCCGTCTTCTTCGTGGATGTCATCATTACAATTCACTACGTGAATGCAGTGCAAACGCTGCTTTGAAACAAACGCCACCCATAGAACAAGCCACTTCTTTACTAACACGTGGCTAAAGTCGCAACACCCAAAATGTTTGGACCACTCAAACCAAAAGGTCTTCATGCAGATATTTAGAGGTCAAATAACACACCACTACCTCGTACAACTGAATAACACGCTGACTGAAGCGACACGTGCAGTCAGAATTAGTTTGAATGTCCAAACTGTGCGGCTCAAACAGGCAACTGTTATGCTATGTCAATACCATGAAGTAAAAGCTGGAATTCTGAACTTTTGTATATATTCATATTCATCTTTTGATCTGAAACCCAAATGTCTTCAGTATACAACAAAAACAAAGGAATTGCCCTTGCCGTTCCAATACTTTTGGAGGGGACTGTATATATAGATATACATCTATATATACATACATATATATGTATTTCTATATATATGTATGTTTGTCCTATAATAAATGTATGTTCAGTAAAACTGCAGCTTCTCTCTCTGTCCCTTTGAATTATTATCTAGAAAAAGAACGACAGCCACAGCAGTTTGAACATAACGTTGTAGCTGATTGATGTAAACTGTAATGTGTGTAAAGTGTCACAATTACCTTGCCTGGATTCAACCCAGGTCACCACAGTCAGTGGTGGATTCCTTTGGGCTAAAGCCCATTTTTCCTCTACTTTTCCATTATTATCAAACATACTTTTTGCTCTTGGACTACTATGACTGTACTTTTACTATTTATTATTTGCCTTTTTGTATTTTGGAGACATCAGTCACTTATTGGATATACAAGCAACAATACAAAAAAAACCTAAGTGGTAAGACTACAGTATACTCTTACATGTCTTTGGTGATATTTTCAGATGTTTTTTGGTTTTAGTAAAAAAAGTCTATAAAGGATGAATGAATGTCTGATTTTGTGTGTGAAGACATGGAAACAGAAATGTCCTCACTCTTCCAATTTTCTGACATTTTTATGGTCCAAACACCTGAGCGTTAAAAATAATACCTGGAGCCATAAAGCTGCATCACTCTGCCCGTTTGCTTTTGTTCAAACAAATGAGAGGCTGGTCTCACAGCAGCATAATATGCTGATGCACAGCAACAACTCCACCAGTCAGTGCATTAAGGTATATGTGTCGGCTGTGCGCTAGTGCAGAGGTAAAACCAGTAAAAGTCTTAAATTGGGAGGAGGCACAGCCCTGAGGAGGGCTGAAGGGAAATTTGAGGAGATTAAAAAGGGAAAGTTGAGATTCTCAGGCAGTCTGATTTACTGCCCTGGTCCTCCATGTTGCTGTTGATTACTTGTTTGGGAATCAGCAAAGACAAGTGTGCTCATCACAACCTGCTCCATATGGAGAAAAAAAGCTAGACAAGTTATTAAAAAAGTACAGCAGGGATCATTCTAATACCCTTAAAGGGTCATAAAGAAATTATATGAAGCCATAATGTTGGATGTTTTCAATCTGAGGAAACTGCAGGAGCCAAACATCAGGAGCAACCTTTGTTTTCCATTTCTGTGTTCGCAGCAGGAGAGTGAGGCGAGGACAAAGGTGTCAGCTAGAGGTTCTGACCTGATCTTTAGGAATCCCTGCAGAAAAACAACCCACACTTTGAACTCCACAAACCAGGTCAGACCACAATCAGTCCCAGGTTTTCTAAGAAAAGACATTAAAAACGCGTCTGGATTTCAAGGTCACTAAGGAACAAAAGAGAGTTATTTTCAACAATGTTATGATCAGTAAGACATTTGGTGCGCTGTACTGTAATTAACATGTCTGCGTCTGTCTCTCAGTCATCCAGGCCATTTCAGCCACTCAGGCCAGTGCCAAAGCACCTCCACCTCCAACACACTCTACAGGAGAAGAAGGTACTAACATCACTCCAAAGAGACATCATCATTCAACCGGCTGACAAAGGAAGATGTGCAGTCATCCTTAACACATCAGATTGCTTTGAAATACTTTTTGGACTTTTAAACACAAAATATTCACTTGGCAGCATGTTTTAAGACATAATCTTGTATTCTAAGGCATTTCTGGGACTTTTTATTTTTTGCATTCTTTCACGATGGTAAGGCTATAGTAAGGCATGTTTTGGGTGATTTTTGAAATATTCATATAAAATACTTTTTGGAGTTTTAAACACAAAATATTCACTTGGCAGCATGTTTTAGGACACAATCTTGCATTAAGGCATTTCTGGGACTTTTTATTTTTTGCATTTTTACACGATAGTAAGGCTATAGTAAGGCATGTTTTGGGTGATCTTTGAAATATTCATATAAAATACTTTTTGGACTTTTAAACAGAAAATAATCACTTGGCAGCATGTTTTAGGACATAGTCTTGTATTTTCAGGGATTCCGGGGACTTTTTATTTTTTGCGTTTTTCCACGATGGTAAGTCTATAGTAAGGCATGTTTCGGGTGATTTTTGAAATATTCATAAATACTTTTTGGAGTTTTAAACAAAATATTCACTTGGCAGCATGTTTTAGGACATAATCTTGCATTTTCAGGCATTTCGGGGACTTTTTATTTTTATGCTAAATTTATTTTTATTAAAAAATAATCCGTAAATGATAGCTAGCAAGATAGACAGATAACATGAACACAACTGTGACATTTTTGGTGCAACGGAACAATCTTTCAGTGAATGATGCTTGCACATTACCTTGTAGCTGCTAATAAAGAACAAATTAGTTGATTAGATGTGATCCAAACATGAGTTACAGTTTCAGTTTTAATATACAGATAATAGCAGCAAAGGTGGAGGTAGGAGTATGGAGGGGGTCCCGGATCCAGTACAGCATCCATGGGGTCTAGGTGGGGAGGAAGCACAGAGACCCCCCGGGCCAACATGTTAGTCCAGTGCATTCAGTGTGGGTAATTAAAACGAATGGAAACAAAAAATATGTAACATATGTGGTGTTATGGCTGGGGACAGGGGGTTTAATCAAATGCAATATTAAAAAGAAAGGTTTTAAACATGGTCACCGATGTTGCCAGTTTTATGGTGTCGGACAGGTTGTTCCAGAGGTGAACATGTATGTATGTATGTTTGCGAATATGACTAGTGTAGTGAAGCCATGGTAGAAATAGTGACAACAACAAAGCTTGGTCAAGGCGTTATAAAACGGTATGATATTATGAAAATATTGAAGACATTAAAGGTGATGACAACATATATTAGCATGACACTTTTATTATTGACTATCAAAAGCCATTAGAATATAGAGTATATAGAATATGTGTAGTCCACTATATTATAGCATGAAATGTTAAGTTATTATTATTATGAAACAGGTCCTCCATGTGGACAACGTTTTGTTTTTTAATGTGCATCTTTTAGGTTTTAGATCATGGCCAAAGTAATGGAGATGTAGGTTTGTGGAAGGTTTTTAATTTAGTTTCAACTTACTTTTTACCTAAATCAAAAAACGAGGTCCGGCCAAAACGTCGATGAGTGAAGTTGCACGTTTGAGCCACAAGAGGGCGAAAACCAATTGGCTCAAGCATACAACCACAAATAGAGCAGAAGACCTTTTGGAGGGAACTTGTTTATATAAAAAAAAATTCCAGCAACTCTTATTTGCAACTTATGCTGCAAATACTGAGTTTCATGCATTTACAATATCGTTATTTTATTTTTAAAATTCGCTTTTCTTCTGTTGAAAGATATCTATTTTATTCATGTTCCACAAGGGCAGTTTAGCGTAGGAACACATTTTATGATGAAATCTTGTCTGGTAATGCGGTCGGTTGTTCGGTTTAGCTCCGCCTACAACGAGGTCCGGACATTAGGTTGTCTGCACGATTCGCCCTCCGGTGGCTCAAACGTGCAACTGCATATATAAACAAGTTCCCTCCAAAAGGTCGTCTGCTCTGTTTGTGGTTGTATGCTTGAGCCAATTGGTTTTCGCCCTCTTGTGGCTCAAACGTGCAACTTCACTTATCGACGTTTTGGCCGGACCTCGTTTTTTGATTTAGGTAAAAAAGGAGTAAAAAGTAAGCTGAAACTAAATTAAAAACCTTCCACAAACCTTACAAAGTTGTTAAAACCCCTCAGAATACGTCTACAATGAACACAACAACAACAACAACTTTTTACTCTCTTAATAGCAAAAGACTTCTCATTTACAAAACATGCATTCAATCATAAAGTCCACAGATCCACATTTAAAAATGATGTCAATCTTGTCTGTACTGGATTTGTCCAGTTGATGTGCCTCTCACTCTTTAGTCAATACCTGTGAAAGGCTTAAATCCATTTCTTTTCATACCTTTAATAGTGACGTTGAATCGGCTCCACACATCTACATCTCCATTACTTTGGCCATGATCTAAACCCAAGATTCACATTAAAATAATAAATAAAACAAAAAACGTTGTCCACATGGGGGACCTGTTTCATAATAATAATAACTTAACATTTCATGCTGTAATATAGTGGACTACACATATATTCTATATACGCTGTATTCAAATGGCTTTTATTTTGGTAATGTCAATAATAAAAGTGTCATGCTAATATATGTTGTCATCACCTTTAATGTCTTCAATATTTTCATAATATCATACCGTTTTATAACGCCTTGACCAAGCTTTGTTGTGTCACTATTTCTACCATGGCTTCACTACACTAGTAATATTCGCAAACATACATACATGTTCACCTCTGGAACAACCTGTCCGACACCATAAAATGGCAACATCAGTGATCATGTTTAAAACCTTTCTTTTTAATATTGCGTTTGATTAAACCCAGTGCTGTACTGGATCCAGGACCCCTCCATATTCCTACCTCCATCTTTGCTGCTATTATCTGTATATTAAAACTGGAACTGTAACTCGTGTTTGGATCACATCTAATCACCTCTAATTAGTTCTATATTAGCAGCTACAAGGTAATGTGCAAGCATCATTCACTGAAATATTGTTCCATTACACCAAAAATTTCACAGATGTGTTCGTGTTATCTATCTATCTATCTAACTTGCTAGCTATCATTTACTGATTTTTTTTAATAAAAAAAATTTTTGCTTAAAAATAAAAAGCCCCAAAATGCCTGAAAATGCAAGATTATGTCCTTAAACATGCTGCCAAGTGATTATTTTGTGTTTAAAACTCCAAAAGTATTTTATATGAATATTTCAAAAATCACCCAAAACCATGAATTAGGGGTCGAAAAAGTATTTTATATGAATATTAATATTCGCAAACATACATACATGTTCACCTCTGGAACAACCTGTCCGACACCATAAAATGGCAACATCAGTGATCATGTTTAAAACCTTTCTTTTTAATATTGCGTTTGATTAAACCCAGTGCTGTACTGGATCCAGGACCCCTCCATATTCCTACCTCCATCTTTGCTGCTATTATCTGTATATTAAAACTGGAACTGTAACTCGTGTTTGGATCACATCTAATCACCTCTAATTAGTTCTATATTAGCAGCTACAAGGTAATGTGCAAGCATCATTCACTGAAATATTGTTCCATTACACCAAAAATTTCACAGATGTGTTCGTGTTATCTATCTATCTATCTAACTTGCTAGCTATCATTTACTGATTTTTTTTAATAAAAAAAATTTTTGCTTAAAAATAAAAAGCCCCAAAATGCCTGA